CACGGAGTACAAGCAAGCAAATCTTTTTTCTCCTCCTGGGCGGCGATGAGTATGACTACAAAGTTCGTCGGATCAGAGCCCAGCCACTAGGCCCCTCGCTAATGGCAGTCGTCATTCTGCATACGGCGTAGTATACGTTTGACGCAATCTTCTCGGCTCAGCCAGGCCAGGGTTCGAAATTTTAGTGTTGCCTTGGCCGAACAGAGAGACACGCCCCCCATTTCCTCTTTTCGAATCATGCCTCTCGCTTGCCATATTGGGGTCCTGACGATGGGTGCACGAAGGAGCAAAGAAATAACTCACTTGGGCGCGTGATGTCCACAGTTTCAAAAGTCGTTAAACGATGGCTTTCTGTTGGAGAGACAACTTTGTGGATGGGTCCCTCACTGCCACCGCTGGCAATGCCGAAGAAAGGGAACCTCGATGCATTCTTTGCGTGGTGCCCGACTTCCTTATGCTGCTCAATATGTGGGTTCCTGCCACGTTTGCGGCTTATCTCGAAGAAGGAATCCCTCGCATTCCGTACTTGCTGCAATCGTGCGACGTTGCCCCATGATCATTGTCTGTGATAGTAAGATAATTTCTGTTACAAGAGAAATCGCACCTCGGCTTGTCGGCGAATATTCTAGATAGCATAGCTAACCTTATAGAGGGGTTTATACTCTCCTCCAGCTCCAATCAAACTGGTGCGGGAGTGTGGCGAACTTGCATGAACAGCCACACGAGCTCCAGCACTTCGTAACGACTCAAGTTGGAGCTTGTGACCAACACTCCAAAAGCCCACTTGAGTTCCATCTTGAACGGGGGGTATATGAGTTGCGTCGCATATCATTCCCACTTGAATACCTCTTTTCGCTACCAATTATTGACCCCCTCCCCCACGAAGGGCAGGTTGAACGAGTCCATGCATCTTCATTGTTTGTTAATGTTTCTCGAACGGTTCAAACAGCATCTGTATCAGGCAGTGAGCTCCCATTGCTTGGACCTGGATCTGGGGCACTAGCGATCCAAACAAGGTTGGCAAGGCTCGTCGATGACCGTGATGGAGATGTTGGTCGTGTCTGATGTTCAGTGGAGGATTTCCCTCCTGACATTATCCGATTGGCATCAATAACACGGCATCCCTTCTTGGAAGAAATCGGACGTGTGTCATTCAGGCGTCCAGTGTAGGTGATTACTTGTTTAGTCCAACAACCCGAAATATGTGCAGACAGCTTCTGAGCGATCGAGGCATGGTTACGCAATGCTGCATGCATCGCTTCCAACAGGCTGGGGAGCTTTGCAGAAATCAACTTGGAATGAAACTTCAAGCTTCCCTCGGCCCTGCGCATATCGTCTCTTCTCGTGCGTATCCGGAGCAAACGGCATTCAAGCGGTGGCATTCGTACAAGTCCTCAGCCCGCGCAAAGATATCAGGAGCAACTCTCGATCCGCCCGTAGTCGCTCAAGTCGCATTGTGCAAAATCAACTCATGCTTCAGCGCGTCGAGACGCTTCAAATCCCATCACGAGGACATTTCGCGTCGTCCTCGAAATAAAATCTGTAGGTTGCTTTAAAATAAGATTGACAAGAAGAGATATGAGAAAAGACGTTGATCCAAAAAGTTCCTCTAAAATACAGTCTGACGGGAATCCTCTTGCAAGAGAAGTGAGTCCTGCGACTTGGTTCACCTTCGTGACAGGCTCGCTAAAGAGCTTCAAAACCAGACACGTCCTGTTCTCAGATCCCCCGCTCACCATCTCCCCGCCATTATCCAACGCGTCGATGGACTCACGCCCTCTGACCCCGCGATGATTGGCAAGATCGCGACTGGAAAAGATGAGCGATCGAAGCATAAACTTCCTCTGAGGCTGTTTTTTTGGCGAGAGCATCATGAGATCACCTTGGCGGCGTGGGATGGGCTCTCCATGACCTCGTCTCGTCCTCAATCATTCTTGTAATGCTATGCCCCTCATCTTATTAAATGCCTCTTTTCCTCACCTTCCCCCCCCCCCCCCCCCCCCCCCCCCCCCCCCCTCCTTAAGCCTAACCCTCTTACTGCCCCAAGTGTAATATTTACTCCCTTACCCCTTCCTTGGACGAAGCCGAACCAATACCCTCCAGCGCAGAGATCCTTAGCATTGTAGCGAAAGCAATTGTTTCGTCCATCAGCCAAGCCTCACACCCACAACAATGCCCAAAGAGCGAAACTGGGATAACGCGCCTCAGAAGGGGCTTGGCTTGATCAATGCTCCTCAAAGAGCTTACACTCCTACCAAACAGGATCTATAGCGAATGAGCCTTTTCATATAGGAAGGAGAAGAAGAGAGAAAAGAAGCTCGTCGAAATCCGTTCCTATTTGCGGAGTTCTTCACTCCCGACCGCTTACACTTCTGCAACATTTTATCCGCAACCACAGGGATGATGCCTCTCCAAAGGATAAAGAATAAGAAAAAAACCCAGGCCTTGGGAACCTAATTGCATCCGTTCGGGAGCGATAAAAGGGTCATCCTTGTGGCTTTGGCCCGGAAGACCGGGGTTGCCAGATTTAGACGGTTGGAATGGCTCTCCATAGACCTGAAACCCGGGCCAACATCTACGGGTATTTCCTTGGTGGGATCGATTGACGTGTAAAATGTGGGGGTTCCAGGGCGACGACGACAAAAGGGCAAATTGATCGAGGGGTAAGAATGTAATCTCTTTCAGACGTTTCGTGATGACATGTTCTATTTTGCGAACCATGTAGTATATTGAATCAAACTAAAATTTAAGGGAGATGACGAAAAGAATGCAGGAACGCATTGCGAACTCCACATACTCCATGTCTGACATGAACCCTCGTCACCACTCCCTCAAGCTTTGACGCGGAGCTTCTCCTTGCCTCGCTTCCTCTTACCACCGACCTCTCTACCTTCCTCCACCTCGAGCAACGCCTCTCTCTTCTTCTCGCTGACGAGCTTGAGCGCGTCGCGAATCACCCTCGTTTCGAGATTAACTCCCTCCTCCTCCCAGGCATCCATCTGCCGGCCCACGCGGGCCTCGATCGCCAAGACGAGCTCCACATCTCTCTGGCCGACAAAGGTAACGGCCTCACCTTTCCTCCCGGCACGGGCTGTACGACCCACACGATGGATGTAGTCATCCGGGTCGCGGGGTACATCGTAGTTAATGACTAAGCTCACTTCGGGAATGTCGAGACCTCGGGCGGCCACGTCGGTCGCCACCAGGATGCGCGCGGCGGCTGCCCTGAAGCGTCCGAGGTTGTCGGTACGCTGGCGTTGGGGTAGCTTAGAGTGTAGCGAGGTCACCCTGTGGTCGAGGAGACGTAGCAAGTGGTGTAGGAAGTCGGCCGTGGACGTCCTGTTGCAGAAGATAATGACGGTCTTGTTCACGTTGCCCTCAGTCAGTAGGAACGTGTGGAGAAAGTGTTCGCGATGCGTCACTGGCACTTTGAGGTGCATCTGCTTAAGCGTGGCCGGGATAGCGAGCACAGTCGTATCCACCTCGCAGACGAAAGCGGGCTCTTTTCCGGGCTTGGTTGGCATGTTTTTTAGGGCCATGACCTCGGGAGTGATAGTCGCAGTGAACAGCAAAGTCTGCCTCTCTGTCGGCGGGGGTAGGACCGAAAAGCACTCTTCAACATCTGGCAACATACTTCCATGACCGGAGCCATCAAGTAACCTATCGGCCTCATCGAGGACAACATACTTCACACGGCGTAGTCCGCAAATGGTATCTTCTCCCGACGTCCGGATATGGTCTGCGAGGCGGCCAGGCGTGGCAATGACAACATGCGGCCGCTCACCTAGAGCGATGGCCTGTGCCCTCATGTCCGCGCCGCCAGTAACGAGAATAGCCTTCAGGAGACGAGGTGAGGAGATGGCGCTGAATTGCTCGAAGATTTGTAGGGCGAGCTCACGAGTGGGCGTGAGGACGACGGCGAAGATGCCCGAGGGGTCTTCTGCCCACTTCTGGAGGATAGGAACGGCAAAGGCTACCGTCTTTCCGGAACCGGTACGGCTTCCTCCGATACAGTCTCGGCCCTTCAGAATCTCCGGTATGCAGCCTTTTTGAATGCCCGTTGGCCTCCGAATGGCCATGTTGGCTAGTGACTGGACTAGCCATGGCTTGACATTGAGGGAATCGAACGTCGTGTTCGGGTCGGTAGGGGCAAGGATAGGGTTTGCGCCTGTAGCAGAAGCATCATCTTCAACGGCAGCAGGCTTGACCGAGGGTGCCGCAGCCGCACTGGTCTTAGGCTTTATCCTAGATGGTGCTTGGAAATTTGTTCGTTGGACAGGGACTGAAGGAGCCTCCTCGTCGGAGTCATCCTCAACTTCAGCCTCAGTTCGTCTTCGTTTCCGCGGTTCGGGGCTGTCTAGCTGATCAGACTCATTGTCTGAATCGTTTGAAGACGGTGATGAGGACCTTGAGGACCTCGAGGACGAAGGGGATGAGCCCGCAGTCCGGCTCCGATCGGTAGTAGCCCCGGCGCCTACGTGTTTTAGGCGTGCAGCTGACGGCATGCCTGCGTTTCGTCTGAGGTTCTTAAGTTTCGGGTGCGGCGGTGGCTAAGCGTCTTCGAGTTGAGGCTTTCGTCGGTGCGGTTCGCAGACCGAAAATTTCCCCCTTCGACTTTTTTTTTTTTTTTTGGTCCCCTGCTCGAGCGTTGCTTCAGATGCAGTGTAAGAGTTACAGTGGGGCAGACCCTCCTGTAAATTCTTGACCTAGGGCGGGCTTCTGGCCTGGCCACTCTTCTAATCTATAACCTTCGCCAATAGCAAACCTCTTCTTACTGAAGGATACAAGTACCAGGTACCGTCCGCGGACACCGCGAGAGCACATACTTAGCCGAAGATTTTCCATGCTCAGAGTGCTCGAAATTCTGCGTTCACACCGTGCAGGGATGGCCTCAACGGCGTGTTTCTTGACGTCGAGAAATGCAGTAGATGTCAAAGTAAACACTTTGCCCACATCTTAAATCCTCTACAATTTTGAAATCCACACGAGAATGGCTTCTTCTAACTGTTTTCCATGTTACGATCCCATAGTCTATCCACCAGCCACTGAACCGGATATCGGTTTGGAGAGGCGAGATCAGGCAGGTAATTGTACCAGTCAGACTCCTCTCTTGGTGTTAAAATATTCGTAGCCTTGACACTTTCCCAGTACTCTGGATAGAAACCACATGTCTCCCAATCAATAATAGCCGCAATCGTCCATGAGCCATCGTCTGCTTTCTGGACCAGGATATTCGCTGGTCGGATATCCCCGTGTGTAAACACGCATTTCACCGGCAATGTTGGAAGTAGGCTGCGTAGGAGTCGGGTGTAGACGGGGGAGACTGTCTTGGCTCCACTAAAAACCCAATCCTGGAACTCTTGGTCATTGATGATCGGCTTGCGGCTCACGCGGGTGCTACGCCTAATGTCCCTACATGGTAGGCCACCAACCCCACCGACTGTCATGCCATCTGGAAAGGGTAGGGATCTCATCTGGGAGAGGAGGGCATTGAGCTGCGCGCTGATGGATTGCTTCTCGCTGTCTGAAAGCTGGCCCCATGCGGTCTCCAAATTGATCCCCGGCACAAAACTCGTAAACAAGAGGGAATAAATCCCAAATCGCAGCAGGCCATGCGGTTGGGGGACCGGAAACCCGGGCAAGTGTTCTCGTAGGTATGTGAGAGATTGATGCTCAGTCGATGCGTTGTCTTCATTGGCAAGGACTTTAACGGCAAACGTCTCTTTGACCCGGAATACCATGACAGAGGCTGCCCACACGCTCTTATAGAGGACTTCGCTTTCATCTAGGAGGTCTATGAGCGTTTCTGAAAGAGATTTATCGTTCTGTAGAAAGAGCTGGAGTTCGGTTGATGGCTCAAACACGGTAGACACGGCGGCGGTCACGTCGAATCTGGAGCGGACGTCGTCAGGAGGAAAGGAGCGTGTGGCCCCTTTCGCTCGAGAGGGTTCCGCTGAATAGAAACCTAAGTTAGAAGACTAGCGGTGGCGGAAACGTGTAGAAAAGCATTACCTTTTAGTAATTTCAGCTTGTCTGAGTAGTTCTTCGATAGGAGTGAAGCGATATCGACTTCGGGATCCTTTTTGACTGCCTCCCCAAGCCAGCGTAACATGTCACGGTTCCATTTCGCTGCTGGAGTCTTCGGGTTGGCCTTGTTGACCCGATTCTTGGATACTGGGTTAGACATCAGTTGTTGTGTATGCGCATTTAAAAGGTGCTCCAGGTTGGCTCTGCTACTGCTTGGGTGGCAGCATTGAAAGAAACTTGGGAGAAATCTCAACTCCTCTTGCCAGCATAAATTCATAAATTTTCTCACGTGCAGCCTGCAGGTTACTTCCCTCTCGATTCACGATCTTGATACGGCTCTCACCACTCTGCCTCCTCACCCTCGGCCGAGTTCTCATTTTCCACCATCGAACCACAACTGTAGCAGCCACCCATGCCGATGCTCCTTTTGGGTTATCCAGAGCGTGGAAAATGGACAATGTCGAGACGCTACGAAGGTACAATTTGGCCAATCACACATCATAAATTCCAAGGTGGCATTCTAGATTCAGGGCTAATGTGGGCCACGGCCAATTGGGTTCCGCCCCCGCATAAACGCGCGCTTGATGAAGGAGATGAGAAGGGCGAAATTCGTCGAGCATTCGTCGAGCGTTCTGCAATTTTGGCGATCCCTTGTCGCCCCAGATGGTCGGTAATCTGGGAGACGTGTGCCGTGGAATCCATACCACGGCGGCATTGGCCCTTGTTCAGGATCCGATATGGGCGATACTTCGTATACTGCCTACTAGTGAGCAGAGAGCTACTCACATGTCCATGAAACAAGAGCGACTGTTCGCTCCGGTCTAGCGGAGGCCTCGAAGGTCATGTTCAGCATCCAACGAAGGGATTGTCATAGTTGTGTTGCCCATACAATGAACTCTCGATTTATAATTCATCCCAACTAATCCTATAATACCGACGTAGTGGAGTTAATCTAGAGCGGAACCACTTCATAAAGTCTAAGTTATAAGTAACTACACCTAGCTGGTAGTGAGGAATCATGCCCGCCGCCATGAGCAAGTCCTTGGCGTTGGAGAATGGATCTTTTCAAGCACAGCAAGAGGCTCCTCCCTCATCTGAATTTCTACACCTCGGCGTAATAACTTTATATACGATGGCATGGAAAGCTTTTCCAACCGAGCAGCTCAAGCAGTAGCGACTGCGCCCAATGGCCAAGTGGTCAAAGGAGCGCTCAGAAGGTTAGAAAATTGCAAATTTCGTAGCTCGCGGCAAGGAATCAGGAGTTTGATCCAGAGAGCGCGCTACGAGTGAGCTTTTTGCTCTTTTTCCTTTTTGTTTTCCCTTCGAGCTTTACTTTTCTTCTTTTTGGTTATTCGGCCTTGCCATGCCAGCTAGATGGTGGTCCAGATGGCGGTCCCTACCGCCATTAACCATTCTTGTCGGTCCAATGTTTGCTGGCTTATTTCTACGGGACAATCATGCTGTCGAAGAATAGCGTTAATGGGCCCGTCCATTCGCTTTGGCGTGCATTCGTCCGAGGAAGGAATCGAAATCACGATACTCTCATCGTGGTCGACAGAACTGATTGGCTACCAGGAGCATATGAGAGGCTAGCCGGAAGAGGCATCACGCCAAGAATCACCATCCCTGAGCGATTGCTGGCAGGGGACGCATACGTCGTACAAGCCAAAGCACCCAGTCATATCCCAGAAATGTCGATTTGGTCCATACAAATTCATGGACAATGCCATTATGAGATCGAAGTGAAAAGGCGTCAGGTTTCAGGTTACAAAGAATTCCGAAGTACTCCAAGGCATGCGCCTCGATCCGCCCATCGAATTTCAGAGTTCCGCATGAGGGCTGGCTTGATCTTCTGTAGGTTCAAGTACGATTTCCCTTGGTTTTAACCCTTTCCCTGGTAGAGGCTGCCTTGGTCTTGCCAATTGGCAGAGACCGCAGACCGCAATGTCGACTCGTCTTCGAAGTAGATGCACTTTGTAGGGGGTACGAAGTGTAAGATCTATGGACTGGTGATGCCCTTCTCGCATCGAGCTGTCGTGATTGGACCTGATCCGGCGGAGCCAACTCGGCGTGTTTAGGAAAAGGACTCTCTGTTCCCCCTCATCGCCATCCATTCTTACACAACCTCCCCGGATCCGGAATGTGAATGCACATTTGAACTTGGTACACTGCATAGTAATTTAATGTTTTCCCCCTCCGCCGGCGGCCCCCAAGTACCATCCTGCAATCCTGCGGTCGGGACCCACGGCCCATTCCAACATCACGTTGATTGTCAGTGGTCAAGAGCTGTGAACTGAACAATGGACCGACTTCCCCGGGATCCCGTGCAGTCACATTTCCAGTGATGGGGCCACAATTCCAATCTGACGCTGTCTGACTCCAACACCGAATTCCATCGTTTCACCGAACAGCAGACCTTCCACCTTCTTTCTCCTCCCGCCTTGAGTGTCCTCGGCCCTCCTGCCTGTAAGCTTCTACAGAGTAAACGCACGAGAAACCGGGCATTGGGCAATTGTGTGAAGGACTTGGGCTCTGGCTCTTAAGGACGGGAGCCGATGCTGGCGGGCCCCTCAATGTGACAAGGGTGGTCGGTGCGCATCCATTGGCAGCTTTTGTCCCAGGTTCAAATGTTCCTGTTTGATGCGTGAGGGGTTCGAAGTTGAGCGCTAAGGAGCATCGAATGAAGAGCAGGGGTTGGAGAATTTTAGGGCTTGACCGGCAGGTTCCCCGCCCGCCCCCAGCCAGGCTAGGCTTGAGGGGGGCTGCTCCTGCAGACTTCACCACCAACCTGCCGCAGACTGCGAAGCAGGACTTGGAGTTCAAGTGCCATATGTCAACATGAAGTATATTGATGCCTGCCGCCTCGTCTTCTTTGTTGATCCAGAGTACCATCCTTGTATACCTCTCTCATCCTCTCAAGTGCTATGCGTCATGTGCTATGGATAAGTCGATGTACTTCGTTCATATTATTGCACATTACAAGTTATCAACGAGCATGGTCTTGACTGGACACAGCGGCAGAGGGGTCGACCGGTCATCCCGAAGTTGAGTTGTTGCGTTGCGGTCGAGGGACGAACACGGGCTTCTGGGGGGAGGACCTGGCCAAACACTATGATTGATCCTTATTCGAAATGAACCTACAAAATCCGATTACGAGGCTGTCCAAAGTCTCACCGAGTTGTTATCTGTTCTTCAATGTTCCCATAACAATTTAATAATGAAAGATGCACATGTCGCCCTATAATTGTACTGATGCCCATCATTTTAACACGCGCAACTGGTCTGAAACCCCTTCATTGACATAGTTGTAACTTGTGCCTGACTCGGCTTCCCGTCCTGCCCTGGTTCCATCCGAATCCCAGTCAAATTGATGCCGCCAATTGATAATAACACATTCCACTCTTGGACCAGCCCAGCTCAGCCCAGGCGCCTTGGTCCAGGCCACCCCAGTACAAAGCGTGGTACGTAGTTGTAGGACTGGGGTACATCACTCAATTGTACAATTGTACTCGTGTCCATCCCAGTCCAGTCTCTCCCACCTGGCGACTGTCACTGTTACAACTGCGACTGACCCTGCCTGGCAATGCGCTCAACCTGCTGTCTTGTTGATCCTCCCCGCCTTTGTTCTTTGTTCCCACTTCCTTCTTCAGGTCACAACTTCAGCCATCAAAAGCCTCGCCACCCCTCCCCCTTCTCTTCCCCTTATATTGTAACTCTCGATCATTCCGGCCACGTCTTGTTGGACTGGATCATTGCTTACGGGCTTCGGGTCTCGCCTTTTACCCCCTCCCCCCACGATACTGTATATGCGAGATCCAAAGTCATTTCCAGTCGTTTTAGATTCCTTCATTTTCTCTACCACCTACCTACCACACGAGCCGGAATACTCGCAGTCCTCTCTCCGCCCCTATCTACGCTGAAACTTCACGCCTTATTCCAGTCTTTCGTTAATGACGAACGAGTAGTTCTTTATTTTGCTTGAGTTCTTGCATGTTAGACAGCGTTATATATTCCGACTGCCGAGTAATCGATCCGCCATCTTTCGTTACCCGAGCATACCTTTCCTGACTCCCGCTCCCAAATCCTCTGGCCGACACCTTCGAACCAACAACTATTTCCCATAGCTCAAGCAACACGTCTCGCCTGCCAGGAGCCGACCGATAATCAGTCAACGGCTTCGGCCCTTGCTCTAGTCAAAGACCGAGACTGGGCTCTCTGGAGCTCTCTCTTACATATATCAACCGTCATCCTCTATACATACTAGCAATCTACACTAATTCAGCCTACTCAAAATGGCCGACCTCTCTGCCCACCCCCAGGGAGATGCCCCCCTGCCCGTACGTAAACCTCCGCGCACAAAAGCCTTGTCAATGCGCCTGAAGGAGTGGTGGAACTAACTGAGCGCCCCAGGTCCCGCCAACGACAAGCTCTATCCAACCCCCCTCCACCACCATCCCGACGATGTCTGCGCCCGCTCCCCTTCTCCGACCCGCTCTTGGCGGCCGTGGCGGACGAGCCCCGAGGTTAGGCCTCGCGATTCCCGCCTCCCCCAACGTTAAGGCCGTCTCTCCAGCGGGCGGTCCTGCTCCCGCACCCTCGAGGCCGCCGCTTCCTACACTGAATATCAACACCCCCGCGGGCAGTAAAGTTTCTGCCTATTCACAACCCCCTCGAAGTAGCAATATCCAGCCCGGCCAATCTGCGGGCGGCGGTAGCGAGAGCAGCGCCGCCCATTCTAGGTCGGGCAGCTTCGGTCCCTTCGATGGTCGAGCGAGCAATCCCACATCAGCTGGCTCTCAATACTCCGCCCTTTCCTTCGCATCACAGTTCGGCCTTGACGTTTCAAGGGCACAGGGAACTCCGGATCCGGTGTCTGCCGTGGGATCCTTATACTCTGAACGGAGCGACGGCGGCGTTGGTATGGAGCGGGATGGTAGCCTACAGGGTCTCGAGGCCTTTGACCAACTGAGTCTCGACCGTGGCCGAACAAAGGATGTTGAGGAGCTCGACAACGAGGCGTGGCAGATTGCCAATATGGAGAAGAGGATAGTCCAGCTCGGAAACCTCGGCGAGGGTGCTGGCGGTGCTGTGACGAAGTGTATGCTCAAGGGCGGGAAGACGGTGTTCGCTCTCAAGGTTCGTCACCATCACCAAGCGTCACAAGTTCTTGCTCTCCTTTTTGAATGCGAACTCACCCGAGTATAGGTCATTACTTCGAACCCGGACCCGGATGTTAAGAAGCAAATCGTCCGAGAACTCGACTTCAACAAGGGCTGCGCTTCAGAGCACATCTGTCGCTACTACGGTGCATTCGTGGATCCCTCGACTGCCAGCATTTTTATCGCCATGGAGTTCTGCGAAGGCGGATCCCTCGATAGCATCTACAAGGAGGTGAAGCGTCTCGGCGGTCGCACAGGAGAAAAGGTGCTGGGCAAGGTCGCCGAGGGCGTTTTGGGCGGTCTCACATATCTTCACAGTCGACGCATCATTCACCGTGATATAAAACCTTCCAACATTCTGCTCTGTCGGAATGGCGAGGTGAAGCTGTGCGACTTCGGCGTGTCAGGCGACTTCGGCACCAAGGGTGAGGCGGATACGTTTATCGGGACCAGCTACTACATGGCGCCCGAGCGAATCACGGGCAAGTCGTACACCATTACGTCCGACGTGTGGTCCACTGGTGTCACCTTGCTTGAGGTCGCACAGCATCGGTTCCCCTTCCCTGCCGATGGCACAGAGATGCAGCCTCGCGCAGGGTTGATTGACCTGCTGACGTACATTGTCCGCCAACCTATTCCGAAACTCAAGGATGAGCCGGAGAACAATATCGTGTGGAGCGACAACTTCAAATACTTTATTGAGTGCTGGTGAGTTTTTATATATCTTGACCCGAAAATATATTTCGGCTGTCATCGAACCTGCCCCGTGCTTGTATGTATGTATGTCATGGATTTGACTAACTTTATCGATTGATAGTCTTGAGAAAGAGGGATCTAGGAGGGCGACGCCATGGAGGATGCTAGAGCACCCATGGATGGTTGAGATGAAGGCGAAACGAGTGAATATGAGCAAATTCCTCTCCCAGGTCTGGGGTTGGGATGAGCAGCAGGCCGCTCCCGCCGCGGCTTAGACGCCGAATTGATTCCGGAACGGGGAAAGGACTGTTGACATTTCCTTTCCCCTGCAGCTCATCATTCCGTTGCGGCCTTGCAGGAGCTGCAATTACATCTGTCGAGGTTACACCACCGACGAATCTTTTATAGACCGGACCAGACTGTTTCGAGAACGAACAAAAGAAGCTTCGGGTATGGATAGGTTAAAGGGCACACACAGACCGTATTCCATCTTTTGGGATATGAAAGATGGCCCACTCTCCTCTTCGGTTCCCTTTGATTTTGGGTTTCACCGTATTTTCCTTTTTGACGTCAATGGCATGAACGGCTTAGCGGTCTCGGTGGATTGGTTTCATGTCGGAGAAGGAAATGGATGGGATGAATGAATGGTATTGGATGTGTACAGCCAGTTTTTTTGGTTTTGGTTTATTCTTGGAATCCAAGGAGAATATGACAGCATGAAAGCAAACTTTTTTTTTTCCATGAAGGCGCATGTTTGGGGTGTGATGATCGCGGTGCCAGGCTGATACGTGCCATCCAGTCCCTCATCAACATGATGTGTCCAGGAGGCATCTGAAAGTTATTACATTGGCTTAGGACAAATATCGTCTACACTCCAGACTTACAAACTTTTAAAATCATTCAAGACCGACTGCCCGCAGCTTGCTCATCAGGCGAAAGACCCATCTCCCTGATAGCCACCGTCGCATATGCACTCCTACCCAGTTGAAAGTGCAGAATAGCAGCAACCTTGTCCGCCACAGGGGTATTCGTCTCCTCCGCCCCCGCCATCTCCACATCCGCTGGAGCCTCCACCCCAGGCTCCGACTCGACCTTCGTCTTCTTAGCCGGATTTTCCCCAGACGTCTCTCCTTCCTCGTCTTCCAAATTTCTCTTCCCAACGCCGCCACGCTTCTGCTTCCTCGCCTGCTCCTCCTGCTCCCTCTTCTCCTTCATAAGAAGGTCCAAGTCCGTAGGATACATCTGCTCATTGTCGTCCGCGTACGCGCGCACCTCTACGCTCGGCGCATCATGGAACCTCGTAATAAGGTGTCTATATCTCCCCGGCACCGTAAACTCCTTGTGGCTCTTCGGCAAATTCAACGGATCCAGGGCGCCGTTCTCGGGGCGGCCCATGAACTCGCGGTAGAATTCGCCAACGGCGTTTTTCGGGAGAAGCGTGCTCGTTCCGGCGCTGGGGAGAACGACGTCGAAGATGGTATAGGCGCCGCTAGTGGCTTCTTCGGCGGTTAAGGGCCGGGCGGAGACGGCGATTTCATCGTCGTCGTCTTCGGGAAGATCGGTGACTACTTCTTCCTCGTCTTCGCCGGCTTCGGTTTGTTCTGCAGCAGCAGATTTGTCGTCGATGATGACGAGGTCGCCTTCTACGACTTTTCCGCCGTAGAGAGCCCAGCGTTTGCTAGCCGCATGGTTCCACACGTAGGATTGGTAAGCGTGGAGGTACAATGAGCGTAAGTTCCGGGGAAGGTGGAGTAAGGCGCCGGCGTAGTCCCCCCGCGCGCTCGGCGACCGACCGAGGTGGTTGATGATTGTGGACTCGGCGACGAAGCGCTTGGGAAGGTGTTTCAAGGCCTGAGTGGCGTTGTGCTGGGTTTGGAAGACGTGGCAAGCGAGCGCGCGGTTGTACTCGTCGTGCCTGGCGTTGCTCTTCGGCAGGTCCGCCGGCGGCGGGTCGTCGAGCACCGAGGGGTCGTATTGTAGAAGTGCGTTGACTGCTTCCTCTAACTTGCCGCCCATGATCATCATGCCGATCTTGTTGGTGCCCGTCGCGTAGCTGCCGAAGCGCTGGTGGCCGAAGTAGTTGATCCAGCCGTTTTTGTACATGCTGTCTAGCGTCCCTTGTAAGGACGACTGGAGGGTCTCGACTCTCTCGGACACGGACTTTCCCTGGTCCTGGGAAAAGTGGCAGTCTTTCACGACAATGGTGAATTCGTTGCCCTTGAGCTGGCCCAGACGTATAGCGTCATGGCTATACATGTAATCGCCGGTCTTCATGCCGTAGAGCTTAGGGTTAAGTCTAGCAAGGTCGGTGGCTGTCCGCTGGCGGACGGAACAGCGCTGCACGGTAGCCGCGCGACGGTCCTTGGTACCCGCGAAGTTGATCGAGCGGGACTTGAGCGCCAGCATGCGGGAGATGAGGCTCACGGCCTCCATGGTGTCTCGATTCTCTTTGAAGAGGGTGAAGTGGAGGAATTCGCCGCTGCCGGGACAGTCGACGCGGAGCTTGGAACCTTTGTTCTTGTTCTTGGTGCGGTTGGATTTGCGCTTGCTGGCGACGATGGCGCCCGTTGGGTCGGTTGTGGTGTCGATTTCAGACTTGAATATCCTTCTCACTTCCTATGCCAATGTACTCCAGTCAGTTTTTCTCTGCGCGGAAAGTCTACGGGGAAGAACCTGGTGCTTGTTCTCTTTTCGGGGCGAGTCGTACTTGGTGAATCTTGGATCTTGTTGCTTTGTCTTCGATGAGACCAGTGCTGGCCGAAGTCTTCGCCTGCGCGTTGGCAGACTTGTACATGTCTACCAGCTTCTCTGCAAACTCGGTTGACGTGAGATCTTTGAGAGCTGCTACGTCCTCTACCGGAATATCTGGCTTCTCAGCAGCATCATTCTCCAATGAGGGAGTCGGGGGTGGCCGATTGTTCTACGGCGAACGTTAGAGAGGTGAACCTGAAATTTCATGTACAATAGGTAGTATCCGTACATCTTTGGGTGCCTCAATATTGCAGTTCCTCAAGTGTAAGACAGATCCGTCTTTCTGAATTTCATTGACTAGGAAGTCAGTACGTCTATATAAGAATATATATCAGTCTCTGCGAACACTTCAAGCCCCCCTTCTGACTTCCCGACCAGTTACTTTCTCGCCATTGGTCCCTCCAACCGCCAGCCATTCGTTCGGAACGCATCGGCTCGAAAAGAGAAAAGAAAAGAGGTGTCATCTAAATATACCTGTGTCGCATGATTCCCTGCCAGAACGTCGGTGGCGTAGAGACCCTCTCAGTGATGCCAATGGAGGTATCAAAGGCTGCGCTGCTGCGCTGGATGTCCGGGCGCGTCGAGGCCATTTGGAAGATGCGCTGGAATACTCGCGTTATATGTTGGGAGAGAGTCGCGCTTATCATGAACGGGCCTTAAACGGGCTTCAAAGTCCCATGCCCTGTGATAAAACACTCAGTGGGTATGAGATTTTCTCATCTAAAAGCAATTCGAGACGAAAAATATAAAAATAAAAATAAAAAAAATGTGAAAGTTCAAGTTCCCAACTTCCACCTGGTGACAGCTGGCCTTCCACCAAGCTCCAAAGAGACCCTGTAACCGATTGTCAACAGCTGCTGGTTCCTGGAGCCAGCGTTGCTTGTCTCTCTCATTCCCATTTCAATCATGATGATAGCGCAGGACGGAGGGATTGTCATGGGGCTAATTAATACCATGGCACAATAGATTTCTAAGTTACAGCCAAGTTCACCGGTTGGTCTGGGACTCTGGGGTCTTCACTTTCCTGGAGAGAGTCTCGTGGATATCCACTCCAAGCTGCAGAAGCCAAGGCATGCGCATCCATCAATTGGTTGAGGACAGGGAAAATGGCTGCTCGCCACGAGGCACGTCACAACGGTTTCCGTCTTCCAGAACTTCGAAGAGCGCTATTGGCGGTAGCGGCATCCTTTCCGAAAAGAAGACGCGGCGCTGAATGGAGGATTGACAGCTCTGTGGAGCGTGCCATTGACAATGTCTGTGCTGCCGCCGTCCCATCCTATCCGCCTGGGTAGATCCAAGCTTACAGTAGATGCATTCATCTAATATTCTGTGTTAGGACCGGGACGTTTGACTTTGGTTTGGGCTGTCGAGATCGAGAGATACTATGAAGTAGTATATCCATGCGGGTTAGGGAGATGTGATATCGGACGAAACACCTCGAATTAATCAAATCGGGCGTTGATGCCTTCGCCAACATACTCCTCGCAGGGTACTGGAAATAATGCGTGCAATCTCAATTTTCCTCTCACTTTAAGCCTGTCCAGTCACAGGGCATGGTCCTATTCTTCGATGTCACTCACGACGAGGGATGCCATGAAAGACCCCGATTCAACGCGTATCATTGATATCCCCGTTTCATCCGAGCTCCGCAAAGCTCAAGCTGATCTAGGATCCCAGGGACCCCAGCTTCCAAGGACCCCAGCCCATCAAATGGTTGCATTATTACGAAGTACACTAGCAATCTAAAAAGCTCTGGGCACCAGTCCGATCACCTTGGTCAATGTCTTGGTGTTGTACCTCTTCGAACAGTCCTCGCGGCCGTCACCATTGCTTGAACACGTTTACGAAATATTGATGAAAGAATTAGCTTTAAGCTTTGGGCTAGGCGAAACTTCTTTGCGTCTTCGTTGCATCAATTGATCCGTTTCCCGCACGCTTACGAGGATGAGACCAACCCTCTCTCTACCTCGGTCTCGGTCGGGACATTTCGAAAGCCACAAATCCCGAGAGTCACAGACGGATTGTCACTGCATTGTCCCTTGATCCCTTGCTTGTTCCCCGTGGAAGAAGGCTAGCTCGTGTGCCCCCAAGTACGAAGGAATAGGAACAAATGATTACACGACAGGCAGCACCTCGCATCATATGAAGCCCATCGCTGATCCTCCAATGTCCCCGACCCCGAACCGCCGGGACGCCATGCCATATACGAAGTCGACACCACCACCTTTTCCCCCCTTTCCAATTTCCTCGTTGCAAGGAATCCATCCTGGGCTAGAACACATGGTGGGTCTGTTTGCTTCTGATGGCTGCCACACTATCCCCCCGCCACACTGTCCATTTGGAAGCTCTCCGCAGAAAAGAAAGGGCCTGGAAAAGTCCTCATCTGCAAGGAGCTCCGGGTGCGGCTCGCATGTGGATCCCTGCCCTGTGTCTAGAACTCTGTATGTTATGAAGTAGATCTACGAAGTATCCTAGAATTTCTCCCCTCTTCCCCATGTTCGCACGTCCCTAGTCGAGATTCGTGATAATAGTCCCAGGACAAGGGAAGATTGAGCTGTCAGAACAATAGTCATTGTTCTCCTCCGCACCCGCTTCTTGATCCAAGCTTCTCAACCGCCGCTACCGTTTCCTCCCCGGTGACCGACGCGAGAAAGGCTTCTGCATGCTGCCGTCTTGAGGTTGGACATGCGCTGCCTTGTAGTCGTTGGTGCTTTTTCAAGTTGATTGGAATGAATAAAATGTTTGCTTCTTCTTCCTCCTCTTCATCCTAATTACCTTTCGTCCGACCCCGAAATTGACATACACTTTCTCGCTCGACTTGAATATCTACAAGTTGGAAACGACCCAAGTGGTCTTGTGGCCGTCCCTTTTGCTCCCTTCCTCTCTCTCGCCTCGGGGAATTCCAACATCTCCCTTGAAAACCTGCCGTAACCCCCACCATCTACATCCACATCTCCCTTACCTCCCATCATGCCTCAATCCGAGGGAAGTTCGCCAACCCACACCCGGGCGAATTCCAACGCCTCGACCGCCCACGCTCCCAAGCGCGCAAAACTCCCCGTCCTCGCCCGAATCTGCGACGACATCCGCGCCTCCATCCTCGGTTACAGACCCCCCGGGCCCTGGCCCCACCTCACCGAGCTCTCTAGCCTCATAGCGGCCTTCCTACAAGACGAGGAGACGCCCTCCATGCACGTCAACTTCGAGACCATCAAGGCGTGCCGTCTTGACAAGCTCCTCGAGGATATCTTAGATCCTAAACATCATCCGCCGAGGCCGCCCGAGGAGCTACGCGAGCTTGTGGCTAATGCCGAGCGCTTGCAGACGGCGTGGACGGGGAGGTTTGGGGAGGAATATTCTTCCATTGACGAGATGAGGGGTAACGAGCTTGTTCAGGCGGGGCAGTTGAGGGATCTGTATTTTAGTATTCAGGATGGGAAGCCTGGGTGGAGGATACGGAGGTTCAGGAGGCCGTCTGAGGAGCTTACCACCACAGCCTTTGAACCAGGACAGTAAGTTGCCCTTTGGGGTTTGGGACGGAAACCCTTTTTCCTTTCCCCCCCCCCCCAACTTTTTTCTTTCTCTCTCACCCTCTTCTCTCTTCCTTACTGACCCCTCTGCCAAAGATGGTTCGTCAACATGGCGAGCGCTTATCGCAACGGCATGGCCGGCGACTCCATGGAGACTCTGTCCAAGAATGGCATGAAGGTCCTACCCCTTCTTTGGGGCAGGGAAGAACGAAACGACCGGGAGACGACGAGATATACTCGAGACGGAGGCGCATCAGAGATGGTCCACTCTCTGCTCTCCCATGTGGGCCAGCGGATACATATTCTCCGGGGCCACAAGCTCCGCAGTCCTTATGCCCCAGAAGCTGGCGTCCGCTACGACGGAATGTGAGTATACAAGTCACACACACACTCCCTTTCTCCCGTGTTGTTACTTGAACCCGCGTTCGGATCTCGCAGTTCTCTAATACCTAAGTCCCATAGATACATCCTCCGCAGCTTCGGCCTCAAGCTTGATCCCCTCACCGACACCTACCGCATGACCCTCATCATCGAACAAGCCTCGGGCCAAGAGCGCGTAGAAGCTTTCCAGGCCATACCTCGACCTTCACAGCTCGACGACTGGCGGCTGTATGAGAGGATAGAGGAGGCCGAGATTCAGCGGGTGGGTAAAGATGGTTTTGAAACGTGGCGGGAAATGCAGAAGGAGGAGGATCGCGTTGCCTTCTAGCTCGAATCGCGGGCGAAGGGCTTTCGATTCTGTGGGATGCTGTGGGCGAGTTCTTCGGCGCAACTCATGATGGGAGGACTTCTGCGGGCTATAACGGGGAAAACTGGTGCCCCGGGTTTCATGGTAATCGTGTATGGAGGGTAGAATGCGCGGAAAATCGGATGGAAAGGGTGAGTTTGTATGATAAACAGGATGAAACAGGATGGAAAACAGGGTTTCTCGTGTGGCTGCCACCCGTCCGTTCGGTCGGGACACCACATTTAGAGAGGATGATAGCAATCTGGGAACGAGTTAGGCGCTCGATGCTGTATGATTCGGTGTAATAAAATAATGAACATTCCAAAGGCAAGCCTCAGAGAATGGCAACTAGAATGGGGTCCTTGATAAGATTTTCCACCATCGCCAGACCTCCTTTTAATTACTCTACATTACCCTAGATTGTCGAATTCCCCCAACATAAGAAGAGCAGAAGAAAAAAGGGGTGTAACAGCCCTCGACTGGTTTCGAACCAACCACCTACACCCTACAGTCCCCACTTCAACTCCTCCAAGACAGCTCGAAAGGCATCACAAACTCAACAGAGCCCGAATGAAGACTCGGGAGACTCTCGCACACATAGACGAGGGGGTAAAAAGATCGAATATAATCAAAGATAAATCCAGCAAAAAAGAAGTCCCACTTCTCCCTCCCCAAGTCCCAATTTCCTCCACGTCTCATGGTTTGACCAGACCGGGTTCCACGCCGGCGCCTTGCAGAAGTAGCTTGTAAGCAGTGCGTCACCGCTCGATCACTTGAGCTTCCATGAGACGTTGTGAATCCTGACCCAAATCTCATTCACAACACATGCTCACGCGCAAACCTCCACTCTCCGAACTCCGGAGGAGCATCTGACCGGAATGAGCAGGACAGTCACAGCATGAAGTCCATACCGGCCGATGCGCGTTCGAGGAAATAGATAGCTCGTGAGGCCGGTTGAGACTCCTTCCCAGGTCTTCTCGTGCCCGGACCCCACTCGGATGCCCAGAAGTTGAGCGCGGCAGCCGGAATGCTTGTGGTAGGATCCCCAAGCGAACTGGAGTAAGGATGGCGGAGTGATGATGTCTATAATGTCAAGGGGCATGTGCGTATCAAGGAACGCTCAAAAGTGCTCGACATTCCTCTAAACACGGAGCAGTAATGTAGCTACCACTAAGCTCTGGGTGTGGTTCTGCATTTTCCTCTAGGGGCTGGGACGAATTACTGACAGGCAATTATACGACATAAAATGCCCTTCTGGTATGGCGCAGCCTTTTTCACCTTTCCGGGGGTTGTGGTGAAGATCTATGTAGGGACATAAACAGCATCAAATGGCCGAAGAGGGGGGAGCCTCTGTCAAGCACCGTCAGCCCAGTTCAAAGGCTGAAGTGTATCCATTCAGCTCGGGGGATAGGGAAGGCTAGATTCCAATCCCGGTTTGCTATCGAGAGACGGTGAGGCCATCACGAAGAGCCAGCTGTGTAGTTTTGGTCTGAGAACTAAGTATTCTCTAGAAGATTATCTAGAATTTCCATCTGGTTCAAGACTAGTTCGTGGGGCTTGAAATGGACTCGTAGATGTATCAATTGATTGGAAAGGAGAATCCTGGACAATAACAGAGGGTTGACAAGATGTCGTCAGTTGAGGTCAGCGACGACTTGGCTTATATCAATGCAGTGCAACGGAGGCGGGGTAGATTTCTGGTCGCAAAATCTCAAACCACCCCACCAAACACTCCCTCCCGTCGTCACCTCGTGCGCAACACAATGGCCAAAGCGAAAGGAAACGACAAAAAGGCAGCCGCTTCCGCCAAGGGCAAGGGAGGAAAGGCTGACAAGGAAGAGAAACAGGTCAAGGGCGCGCAGTCGATCAATGTGCGCCACATCCTTGTACGTACATTACTTGCTTACGGCCAGCGTTAGCTGGGAAATAGATTCCTGCCCTACCGTCGATAACTCTCAAAAGACTATTTCCTCTCTAATTCGTATATAGTGTGAGAAGCATGGGAAGAAGGAAGAGGCCCTAGCAAAGCTGAGGGATGGTGCCAAGTTTGACGAAGTTGCGCGCGAGTTTTCGGAGGACAAGGCCAGGCAAGGTGAGTGGAGATCGCCAACAAGTACTTTACGGACTCGTTTCGGTTAACGGACTTGGGATTTTTAGGTGGCTCTCTTGGTTGGAAGACAAGGGGTAGCCTCGACCCAAAGTTTGAAGAGGTGGCCTTCGCTCTCGAAGCCAGTTCGACTGGTAACCCCAAGATTGGCGAGGCCAAGACCGGTTTTGGATACCACATTATCATGGTACGTGATCCCATGTCCTCCATGCACCAAAGCTCATCTCGTCTGAGAGGCCTACTAAACCTTCTCAACAGGTCGAGGGTAGGAAATGAACTGGTAGCTTTACAATCTTACACATTGAACGTCATCACGACATAGCTGTATCCCTAATGATAAAAAGAAATTGTTGCCCAACTTTTCATGTCCGTTTTTTATTCTTAGTCGGCCATCCATTCCGTGGAGTGATGCCGGCCGAGGATGCTAGAGTACAACCAAATTTTAAAAAGTTGTATCAGGATGGAAACCATCTTTTTTAGAATCTCCCATATCCTCCACTCTATACCCTAAGCCTTTGACGCCTGAAAACGCAATTTACTGCTCGGTCTGGAAGTAGTTGAGGAGGATGGATCGCTCCTGAGACTCCTCACCCCAATCCTTAACGACGACGCAAGAGCAGTTGACGACCTTGCGGGCGTTGCCCTCGCGGTCAAGGACACCTAGACATTGACTATTAGCACATAACATATTCCAGCAGGAAGAAACCCCAAACACGAAAATCTCCTCCCCAAAAGGAAAGCCAGGAAAATTCGAAAGGAGATGGGCCCAAACGTACAGAGGCCAGCCCACTCGCCGAGCTGCTTGCCATCGGGAACCTTGATGAGAGGGATCTTGTGCTCGGAGCAGAGAGCGATGATGAGCTTCTTGTACGCATCCTCCTCACAGGACTCGTTGAGCACACACATGTGCGCTTGGCGGCGGTCGAGGGCCTTGGAAGCCTCGCGGAGACCGCGGGCGAGACCGTCGTGCATGAGGGCGAGCTTCAAGACACCCTTGAGGGCGTCGAGAACGGACATCTGGCCCTTGGAGGCGGCATCGGCAGACACCTCAACCTCCTCGGAAACTTCGGGGGCGTTCTTCTCTTCTACGTCCGACTATAGGCACGGAAAAGCATTAGGTTAGTCCATTGTCCGAAAAATATACATCATATTTCCCCCCCCGCCCGTTGCTCTCAGTTGTTGCGCTCTCCTCCAAGACCTCGAAAGAGGACGTCTCCTCGCAGGAATCGATTGAGAGGGCCGATGGAACGTATTTGAAAATCGATTTCAAGGGGGAGTTTCTCACCATCTTGATGGGATTTGTTATTCAAGGGATCGGCCGTCCTCGAAGAGTAATTGTGATTTTGATGGAAAAGATATAGAGAGTGGTAGAAGTCGAGAAATTGGGGCGACGTGAAACCTGGACGGGTACAAAGTGGGAGGTAGAAGTTTTGTGTGTGCAGCCGCCCTTGTCCCTCTTTAGCACTTTGCACCTCATTGGATGGAGGGGCACCTTCCCACGAACTTAGGGCAATTTTTCGTGTGGGCACGGGCCACCCCACACCAGGGCTTGATTTGATGCTTGGTTTTGGTTGTGTGGTTTTTGTGCATGCATCAATTTTCCCCCACACCGAGAGAAAAGAGGTCCAATTTCTTCTCCCTTGATTTTTCCTATCTCCAACCATCGCCATTCACCAACAACTCCTCAACCACCAACCCGCTTCTCCCGAGGTATGTGACAATTAAACGTAGCAATGCCGACGACTCGATAGCGACTGGTCTTATGCCTTTCGCGATGGCGGAGGAGAGCAATCAGCAATATATTGCCTGTCCCCGAGCTCTTGGAATACAGAGTCTCGGGGTTTGGATTTTGATATCCTGAGAAAAAAGAAACACTTGGCAATGGCTTTAAACAGCCCTGATACGCTTCTCCTCTTCAGCACTGAGCGGCAGAAACCCTCCATAAGCTTGTTTGCTATCGAGGGTACTCTCCACGCTTCAGGCCATCGTAGGCTAACATTTTCGTTTTCTCTTCTGCGCAGATACCTCATTTCGCAAACCTTTAACGACTTGAGAATCTCCGTCTCAATACCGCAAAAATGGTTCTTACTTCCGTCCTCCACGATGCCCTCAACACCATCAACAACGGTGAGAAGGCCGGCAAGCGCCAGGTCATGATCCGACCTAGCTCCAAGGTCATCATCAAGTTCCTCCAGGTCATGCAGCGCCACGGTATGTCGACCATGTCTCTCTTTTTGCGTCTTGACTTTACGCTTGGAACTCTTGCACGGATACCCCTACCCCTTCCCCATTCGGCATGATAACTAGGGCAACGATCGGAATTCCTACGAACGAGCCCCTATAAGATGCCGATAGATTATATCCAGCAGAGTTTTATCTACAATATGCGTTTCTCGACTCTTTTCTCCTTGTGTTTTGCGACGTCGATGAGATTCTGCGACATGCATGCTAATCCATTGCTTTAGGCTACATTGGCGAGTTCGAGGAGGTCGATGACCACCGATCTGGCAAGATCGTTGTCCAGCTCAACGGCCGGTATGTTCTCGATGCTCTATACATACCGTCCCTAGTTCGTGACGGAGAGCATACTAACACGTGTGAAACAGCCTCAACAAGTGCGGTGTCATCTCTCCCCGCTTCAACGTCCGTCTCACCGAGCTCGAGAAGTGGGTTGTCAAGCTTCTCCCCGCCCGTCAGTTCGGTTATGTCATCCTCACCACCTCCGCCGGTATCATGGACCACGAGGAGGCCCGTAGGAAGCACGTCGCCGGCAAGATTATCGGCTTCTTCTACTAAGGGAATGATACCAAGGGATGGGGGCTTATGACGATTAAGAAAAAAAAAAAGGTGGATGGCATTATTTGGCGTTTGGGCATCATCTTCTGGCGCTTCTGGTGTCTAGCCACTTGAGTTTCCGGACTTGATACTACAATCAAGAAGCGAGCCTTCGTGAGCACTCTGGTTCAATTTACTCGGTTGATGTCCCACTGTGAATTCCGTATTTGGATTTGTGTGAAACTATGTAAGAGTCAGCACTGGCAACCTGTGACTCCGTGTTTGCAATCTCGAGGTGAGTGAGGCGTTTACAGTTAGATCCAACAGTGAAGGCGCTTAGTCCTTTGGCCTTCCAGTAGTCAGTGATATACCCTCCGATGCTAACTTGAGCAGTTCGTTGGTTTCGGGCTCGGTCTTCCTTCAATTTCTTATCGAGCCGGTGTTTGAGGTTTGACACATTCGCATGCCTCATTCATTAAACAAAAGCAACCAAAACTAATGGACTTTGGAATGAACTTGCCTCGACTGTTGCTATAGACTTATTTATATATGTTATAGAAAAGCACGGCAGCTGCCATCATGTCTATAGCCATCCTAGCCATGTTGTCAACTAAAAGGGAATATATCACAGCCATGCACTTCTACAGCATGCCCACTGTTCCCTAGGTTTCGTCATTGTTGGATGTCCTTCACTACTTACTAGCCATCTTCTTGTTCTCAGGCAAGAACCATAAAGAGCCTTGGAAGTTCCTTGATCCTACCCAACAGAAGGAAGGGATATGATTGAAGCACACGAGACCAGGCTGGCCTGGGATGCTGTCGTCACTAGATCCAGCAGATGGCTTGTCTGTTTCTCTGGAGGGCATTCGCGAGAGGGGGCAGGGGAATGGGAAAACTGGAAGAGGTAGCTGAGAATACGCAACTGGCTCACTATCGTCATGGAAACTCGAAACCTATTTCTCAACCATAAAAGGAGCGTTTCCTGACGCGTTTTCCCTTTTCTTCCCCAAACATCATTCGAGTCCTTCGACGCTTGACGCCTATGGTTTCTCGGAATCTAACCAAGTGTCCTGAGAATCGACACGTTTTTCCATCCTGCTTGTATCGCTCAGCAGCGTAACACTTATCAACTGCACCTAAACCGAGAGCTCTTCGCCTCTTTTGAATCGTCCTTGGAGCTCAGCGATTAAGCGATTAGGTCGTTCGGTGACGGAGTCACTTATCTGAGTACGAGCCCCCTTTCCAATAACGTGGCACCTTTCAAGCGTTCAAGAATCACGTCGCTAACGAAGATCAGCAAAATGGCTTCATGGGCCAACATCCCAAACGAACTCATCCTCCTTATCGTCGGTCACCTCACCGACCTGTCCGACATTGCGGCTTTCGCCCAAGCCAGCCACATGACATACGATCTTGCCAACCCTGCGCTTTACCGGCGCGCCAGATCGAGTCACCCGTATCTTCTCTGCTGGGCAAGTGACCTTAGAAGGGTTGGAACAGTCAGAAAGCTCCTGGCTGCTGGAGCAATCGCAGACAAATCGTGGATGGAAGGTGGTTATCCTGTTTTCTTAGAGTCGTTTGCGCTTCCCGGTGAGTTTGATGATTATTTTACGGCTCTCCATAATAGAATCGAGGGACCCGAAGTCCACCCATCGGAGCCCGGAGTAGAAGGGCTCGAGATCGAGATGTTTGAAGACAGCACCGATTCTACTGACGGCGGTGAAGATACTAATGGTACGAAGTTTGTACCATTCAAGCCGTCGAAATGGATGCTGGACGAACCGTTTTTCCCTTCCCTCCGTCTTGGCAAATTCCTGACTACCATAGGCGAAGTTCCGCCGCGCGAAACGCAAGGATCACGCCTGTGGTACCCGTTGCATCTCGCCGCCAGAGGCGGTCATATCGAAGTTGCGGAGCTTCTGCTGAGCCATGGCGCAGACATTGATAAGACTACCCAAAAGATCTGTGGGTGTAAGCGCACGATACTGGACCGCGAAGACCGACACGACAGGCTAGCATATGCACAGGAGGAATCCGACCGGAAGTTCCTAGAAAGCGGCGTCCTCGTCACGCCGTTACACATGGCCTTGTGTCACCGGCAGCAAGAAATGGCGATTCTGCTTCTCCAACGAGGCGCGGCGCATACTTTCGATCACCCCCGGTGGAAAGCCCACGTTCTCCACACCGCGGCGGCCTTCGGCTGTCTTGATGTGATCAGGTTTCTGCTTGAGGGCGATGACCCTCCTAACATTGATGTCCAAGATTCCCGGGGTCTGACGCCACTGTTCTACGCCTACTCGACCCGCCAACGAGCGACGATGCTCTGGTTGCTCCAGAAGGGGGCAGACGTGAACGTCCAGCTGGGAAACCGTATCACTCTCCTGCACCTCGCTTGCCTCGATGGCGCGTTTGCCATTGCGTGTCATCTCATCGACGCGGGTGCTGATGTCAACCGTCCTTGGCATTACACCATCTGTTATTTCTTAGGACAGCGGCGTCCTCTGGAGTTGTGCTGTGCTCTGCACCACACCAAATCCCGCCGAGCATATGCAGGAGGTAATGCTTTACTCCACGAGCGCAAGTTTGAGTCGCGCAGGCTCGAGCTTATGAAGAAGCTCCTGGATGCAGGGGCGAGTACGAGACCCATCAAACAGCTACCACCGTCCTTGTCTTTTCCGTCTTCGGAAATCTCCGCCGTAACGATTGCGGCATCTCATCACTCCATTCCCATGCTGGAGTTACTGGCTGCATCGGGCGTTGACATGTCGCGGGAGGGGTCCGCAATCCGCGAGGCGATCTACCCAACGTTTATGCAATGGACAGACATCACCGACCGTGACCCCTTGCCCACGCTGCGCTGGCTTGTGGCCCACGGCGTACCCGTGGACCCCGAATCAAACGTTATAGTGGACGCCTTGGTCTTTGTTTGTGCACTGCCGGAGGACTGCCCGTGGAGGGATGACGTTTTCGACTGGTTTCTTACTTACAACATCCCACCCGATTTCGAAATCATGGTCCGCAGCTGCAGTGGACGTTTCGAGCGCTTGCATAAAATGGACCCTATAAGCCAGTTCGATTCCCGGTCGACAACGCCGTTTCGGGAAGCCTTCCGCGCAAATAATTTCGCCATGTGCAAGGCCCTACTCAACAGCCAGCCTCGCCCGAGTCTGGTGGAGGCGTTCCGGCTTCTGGCCTCTTTGGCGACCCACTTCGGATCCCGTACGCACCTCTGGCAAAATCCCTACTCGGACCAGGAGGAACCTCATCGGGTGAATCGCGAACGGTTGGCGTTCCTCTTGGAGGCGGACGAGGAAGAAGCCATCAAGCACTCGCCAGCCACGTTTATGGCTCTCGTGGGCGCGACACAGCTACCCCCGACTGACCTCCTCCTTGAGGCCCCTCTCCCCACGAAGGCCGCTTTCCTGGAGAAGTTTCCCAGTGCATACCGCCGAGGTGCATTTGTGACGGAGCAGGTCAATAGGTTCTTCGATGTGCAGGATCAATACGATGCGACCAAAGCCCCTCGAGATTGGGACTCGGCCTTCCGCCTCGTCATGCTCATTCTCAGACGGAACTGGACTGCCGCCCGCTTCCTGCTCCAGCACGGCGCTGACGTCGGCTGGGCGCAGGAAAATGGAATGGAATACTTCCCCCCCGTACTGTCAGCGCTCGAACTGGCGCCGTCACCCAGTAGTATCGGCCGGGACACATACAACGTTCTCTTGGGACGCTGGGACGAGCGGGTTGGGCGACTCGACACCGACGTACGCGTCGCACTATTTCATGAAGCTTGCGGCGGACCGGTCGACATAACGCACTTCCTTGCCGACGACGAACTCGACGTCAACGCCGTCGACAGCAACGGAAACTCAGCCCTCCATCGTATGTTTGAGTATCACGAAAATGAATCGCGATCTCCTTCCGTGCGGGATTACCACGCGGGGCACAGACTTCTCCAGCTACTCAGAGCCGGCGCGGACCCCAGGGCGGTAAACAATGACGGCAAGAGTGTTTTGACGTATTTCAACAAGCGAGCCTGGATTTACTGGACGCTGCTGAGGTCTCTACGGCTGAGGTCGTTCGTCGAGGAGTTTATCGATGGCAAGAGAAGGATCGAGATCAGTTTTCGGCTAGACGGAGAGGAGGAGACGTTCGTTTATGAATGAGGGCAGCCTGTGTCCGGGACATGTACATCGTACTGTAACAACAACTTTGACGAATTGCCTCTACGGCACCCAGGGCGAGATTCCGGAGAGCACCTTTGTTGAGAAGGTGGATGCTTGAATTATGTTACGATTGAAACGAAATCGAAGTCGTCTTCGGATAACTTTAACTACCAGGCAGTCAGTCTCGGGGCGAGGGGGAAGTAAAATTAACCCTCCTGTATTATAATTTACGATGTAAGAGTTTGCACCGTTACTTGCGGCTGCAACTTGCAATGTGTGCTCAGAACTTTAAACGTACCTCAGTACTTGGACTGTGACACCAAACCTGGTACAGTGAAAGGCAAATTGGGTGAGCAATACCAGAACTGGCTCTTGGTCCGTATCTACTCTCATCCAAAGGTGCCTGGAGCCCATCTTCCTTCCTCTTCTTCCATCCCCGCCAGAGTCGGCGCTTTCGTGCCAGCCACGATCATGGCGCCGCAACCGGATGCTGCACAGCGTATTCTGGTTAGAGCGGATTTAGCTTCCAAAAGAGTACAGACGGCATTTAGCTAAAATGCACAGAGGTTTACGTTCGCTACTCTTGGCACATACATGGGCAACAAGCCATGTACAGACATCTCTACCACAAGCGAAAACCTGCCTTACTTGACTTCACCCTGTCTCCCAGGACTCTTCCAGGACTCTACATGACCCGACGGCTACTATATGGAATCACTGGGTCCATATCAACACACCGGTGCCAAGACTTCCCCTGCTAGCGGCGCGAACTGCGCAAACAAAACACGGACCACCTATACGACGGATCACCGCACTTTTCCCCCTCTCGGAGCACCACGCCCTAGCCAGGACTTCAGCACCCTTGCCTGTGGCGTTGATGACCATGACTTCGTCATCATCGGAGTCCTCGGCGGTATGGTCCTTCAGCCGTTCAATCGACCAGATGTTCTTTTGGAACCGCGGTAGCTCCCTTATGTGGACCTCGTGGGCCCCTTTGGGGCCAGGCCTGCAGGGCGGAGGGGTCACAAAGACCGGGTTGGTGAACAACTTATATGTGACAGCACTCTCGTTATTGTCCATTTTGAATGTAATGCTCGCCCGGTACTCAGTCTTGAGTTCCACGCCCAGATCGTCCAGCATGCCCTTAGCGACATTTTGCGCCACATTGATATCTAGCGCGAGCCTCTTCAGCCGTATAGATTCGATTTCGCAGGTGCCAACGTCCCTGACCGGTGGCTCCGGTACTACCCAGTTGCTCGGGTCCCTCATTTCGGCCAGGTACGACCCGACTTCCTCATTCGGCTGTATGCGTGTTGCTTCCTGCCGGGCGTATCTGCTCCCTATGTGGATGACGGCGTTGTCGGAGTCCGAGTTGCAGTCGGTCAGGGCAACGCGCCGGGTTTTGATGCGAATGTGTCGCGGCTTGTCCCCTTGAACGGGTGGGTCGAATTCGACCCGCGGGCACGGCCCAATCCACCCGCAGAGAGAGATGACGCCAGGCAAGCAGCCGAGCACGCGTCCGAGCACCGTTCTCACCCGCCAGTAGGATCGAGTTGGTAGCGATAGCCCACAGTCGTAATAGGGGGCTACGGCAACCTTGTTCACATCAATGCTGGGCGTGCAGAAGATCAACGCTGTCATTATCTTGAAGGAGAACCATTTCCCCGGAAGCATCGTTCCATATAGCCAGTCATGGAGGTTGATGTTGATGATTTCGCCGGCACGGAGATTGCTGTAGATGTCCTCGGCATAGTCGCGGACTTCGTTGATATAGGGCCATTTCATGCGTTCGGCAAAAACGAGGAGTCCCTCAACTTGCTGTTCGTGAATACTGGAATGGAACTCGGGTGTTTTCCCGACTATCTCCCAGTCTTCGTCTAGGAAGCTGGATTCTAGGCCATGTTGCTTCTCCTTGTCTGTTTCCGAGTTGATGGCCTTGACTGTCTCAGTGATCAATTTCTTAGCGCCAGCTAATCCTTGGTGCATTTGCGTCGTGGCGTCCTTGCCTGCGACTTGTAACGCTCGTTCGTAGGCCTTCTTGGCTCGTTTGCCGTGGCCTAACTTGAGCATGGCCATGCCCAGTCGAGACCACGCCTTGGCATATTTAGGGTCAAGCTGCGTCGCCACGTAGGCGTCTTCCTCCGCCTCTTCGTACTTTTCCAGTCCCAATAGGGCTGCTGATCTGTTGCAGCGATACACGGTATTGCCGAGATCGATTTTAATGGCTTCGGTATAGAGGTCCAAGGCCTTTTGAAACTCATTCTTCTTCAGTGCCTCGTTGCCCTTACTCTTGAAGTCTTCTGCCTTGGCCCTTTCTTCCGCGGTCTCTGGCCCTTTCACGCCATCAGTCAGCAACTTCTCGTCCTTGAGTACGATCTGGACGTGCTTCAGCCACAGCTCGGAGATGATGAGAGTTGCAAGGATCCGTTCCGTGAAGCCAGAATACGACATCCCTCCATCGAGGTGTTTCAGTCGTACCGCTAGCTCTCGTCCTATAATAATCTGCCGCAGGAAGTTCCAAAGCCCGATGCAATTTTCGTCTCCTGGGGTCGCCCATCGCAACCCCACGCTCGATGCGGTCGTAAAGTCGGCAAAGATGTCGGTGCGATTAAGTAGGCTGTACAGGTCGCCGACCCATCGGTTCCGGTCCTGTGCATACTTTGGCTCGTAGTATACGATGCTGTTAATTTTTTTTTTTTTTCTTTTTAGTTGACAAGCCTTGTCGTGGTAAAAACTGTAAAGTATCAACGTACCCTAAGGTCCCGACGAACTCTTTCAGGTCCAATTCCTCCTTCTCTGGGCTCCACCCGAACTTGCCCGGTTCCGTTTGCAGTTCATTTAACCTGCGCAGTAGTTTTCTAGCGGGCGCCTCGGGTAGTTTAGCGTAGCTGACCATTACTGTATGCTCCCTAGGCTTAGTTTTCTCGAAGTCCCAGCACTCCAACCCGTAGCCCTCCACCGTGACGGTGCCGGGATTGAGGTTCTCAAACTTGGCGTGGCTCTCGGGGTCGAGCAATGTATAGTCCTCATCATCAAGTGGCTCGTACTTGTCCTGAGACCGTTTCCTCATATATTTCTTCTTGTACATCTCTGCAGATTGTGTTAGCCGATAGCAAGCGAGGACAACGGCGCGTAGTCTTACCAAATGCTGTGTGCGTTGTCGATACAAAGCCCTTGTCCTGGTCGTCCCAATAGGATGAGAATGATGCATCTCGCTTATCGCCATCCCAATAAACATGTGCGGAAACGCGTGCGAGTCCAGGAGAAGGCCCAATGAGGCCAAGGGTCAGGGCGCCTACGCTCTTTCGCTCCACGTACAACTCAACTTCCTTAAGCCGTTTAGACAACTCATCTTCTTCCTCACCGCTTTGTCGGCCATCCAGCGGAACCTCCTCATCTACGTCCTCCTGTCCCTCCGCTACAACATTCTCGGCCGTCGCTTGGCTGCCGTTTTCGCTCCGTGTCTTTGAAAGCAATTCAGTCCTAGCGGATTCCGTTGCGCCAAGTGCCTCGAGTCGCAGGCTCGCACATTCCGAAAGTGGTTCATGCTCCCCGGCCGTAGCCTCCTGCAGCAGCTGCAGCTCCCGCACCTGGAGAGCCGTGTTAATATCGCTCTTCATGGCCTCGGCTGCCCTCAGCTGCGCTTCTGGGAACAGACTCTCGAGACCGTCGTTAAAGCCACGTAGCTCAGCGACGAGCACCTCGAACTTTTTGCGGTCGCGCACCGCCCATACCGTCTTGCGCACCAAGGGCGTCTCGCGCTGTCGTTCCCGCGCTATACGGCGTAGATTATCGTAGGCGCGCTTGAAAACCCCGTCTAGGATCCTCTGGCTCTGCGACAGCGGCAAGTCTTGACTTTCGCCTCCAGTCAGGGCTGGGCTCGCTGGTTGTAAGCCGTAGTAGCCCTGCAACCTGTCCGTATTCTCAAACACGTGTTGAATACAGCCCAATAGACGGAGTGTTGTGCTGCGTACTTCTTCACGGTAAAGCCGCGCGTCTGGATTAGATCCAGGCTCTCCGCTGGGTCTTCCGGTCCGTATATTGCCGAGACCTACTGCGTCACCCCAGCAAATCAGGCGGACGCGCTCAACCGCAAGCTTGACATTCAGGAGCTCGAATTCCATCCCATATTGGCGCGTCGAGTCGACAACCTCGTAAACTTGAACGCAGGATTGCCATAGGGTGGCAACACCGACGACAAGTCCAGCAACATCAGTCATGATAATAGTCCACCCAGTTATCTGGCGATGTGTTGCTTGGTGATGGAGTCTCGAAGCATCGCACTGGAATCATTGTGAACTGCACTGGCGGTAGACATGGAGCATCGAGTAGTTTATTATCTTTTTCTTTCGAAGGGCGCCTTGCAGCACAGCCACCACAAGGCGCCTCTGTCGTTTCCGACATGGAGTTGGGGTGGGTGGCAGCGCAGGATAAGACGGTGTCATTCAGCGCCGACTGCACCAAGCAGTCTGGCCAGGCGGATGTGTACGCATCCTTCAAATCTGAGCGATTACCTGTGTACTTCGTAGGCATGGACCGTATAGGTTCTGGTGGTGCATAACATCAATATTCGAAGTGGAAGAAAACAGTTAAGATAACCAGAACATACTGTGTGCAGTATGTCCGTGCGTTGTGTGTCCAGCGTGACTCTGTACCTTAGTACTTCGTAGTTCCCATCTCCACATCCCGCTATATAATCACCTGCCACCAGCTTTTGACAGCTGCTCATACTAACCGTTGTCTGGCCAACACGGATCCTTCTTAGGCCCATGATAAGGGACCAGCTCAAGTCTTGGTTCAAGGTCTGATGGCGGTCTTGGTGCGCGAATCTAGAATTATCTTGCAAACTTACTGAGGATGTGCCGTTAAACAGATCTCGGCATATCGAATTTCGTTTGGCATAGTTCCTCAAGAATCCACATGAATGAGAAACACAGGTGCGTTGAACTATGCGCCAGTGTTGACATCAGTCGTTCCATCGCAACAGAGCACAGCACGACATTCCGCAATCCCTGAACAGTGAGGGACAAGCACGAGTGGCGTTAACTTACGGGAGGGAGAAGCTGAAATTTTCTGTATTATCACCCCTTTCATCATGTTGGCGCCTAGATTATTACCTCGCCGCGGGCTCGGCGTGACTCTGGCATTGTTTGTGTTTATACTTTTCGCCACATACCAAATCCTCGAAATCCCCGCGACATCGCTGGGGTATTCCCAACCTGATATCCTAATTGATAGGAGAGAAAAGGAACAGACGCCATTACAGGATCCACCAAAACCGGAAGGGCAGCAAGAGGAGACCGCTGCTGAGGAGAGCCGTGGAGACGGGACCGAACGGGCCGACGAGACAGACATCTCCCACGCTTGGGATGATAAGCACACGGATGATGTTATTGCAGATTCAAAGCTTCACCCAATTCTACAACTCGCAAAACAAGCCGACAATGAAAGAGAGGGGATCCTGTCCAGGCAATCTACAAACATCGAGGATGCCGTTGCCGAATACCGAAGGAGATACAAAATTGCTCCGCCGCCTAACTTCGATAAATGGTACGAGTTCGCCAAGGAGAGGAATGTCGTCCTCATTGACGAGTTCGACACGATTCACGAGATGCTCGCGCCCTTTTGGGGCTTGAAACCGGCGACCATCCGAAAGAGGGCGACCGAGGCACTGGGTTATAGCAACCATCTCATGGGCATTTTGATTCGCGACCACCAGGTGGTCCTTCAGCAGGGTGGCAAGGCGTGGGAGAGAAAGGCCCTTGGGCAGATGCTGAGCAACATTACGCAGTATTTGCCGGACATGGATCTTGCGTTTAATGAGTTTGATGAGCCGCGGGTGGTGTTGCAGCATGACGACCTTTCTAGACTGGTCGCTAAGGGGAGGGACGTCAGTATGGCGGCTGCGGCGGCGAACCAGAAGCTCTCTAATAGTTTTACCAAGGACATAAAGGGGCTCGGTAACGGAAAGTCCATTCGGGAGGTGTCTAATAGCCGTTTCGTGAATGTAGGGAGGCAATCTGCATGGGCCATATCTCGCATGAACTGCCCACCAGATAGCCCTGCACGCTCCCTCGAGGACGGCGAAGACGACTTGGTGGACGATACGAAAGGCTACTGCACCGAAGGCGAGCTTTGTTTCATTTCCAACATGACGGCCTTTACCAATATCTGCTCGAGTCCATCCTTCCGGACCAACTACGGTTTCTTCGACAGACCCAACGCTTTCAGCGTCACGCACGACCTCGTCCCCATCTTCTCCCAATCCAAGCTGTCCACATACTCCGACATCCTCTTCCCCTCCCATTGGTACTGGGCCAACAAAGTCCCGTACAACGAATCCTCCGACATCCCCTGGTCCTCGAAGCGCGACGAGCTCTACTGGCGCGGCTCCACAACCGGAGGGTTCAGCCGCTGGGGTGGCTGGCGCCATCACCACCGCCAACACTTCGTCCAAACCCTCAACGACGCTTCAGCCGAATCCCTCATCCTCACCACACCCCAAACCAACGAATCCACAACAACCGAACTCCCCTTCCTCGCCGAAAAGCAACCTCTCGAAACTCACGCCCATCTCTTCAACGTCACCTTCTCCCACATCGGCCAATGCGACCCAGGCGACTGCTCCGCCCAACGCCACGCCTTCACGCTCGCACCCTACGCCGCCCAGCACGACGCCTGGGCCTCCAAGTTCCTCCTCGACCTCGACGGCAACGCCTTCTCCGGGCGGTTTCAGGCCTTTTTGAGGAGCCGTAGCCTCGTGTTCAAGTTTGCTCTGTTTAGGGAGTGGACGACCGGGAGTTGGCTCGGTGCTTGGAGGGATTATGTGCCCCTTTCGCTGGGCGGTGGGGAGTGGGTTGAGGCTGTGAGGTATTTGGCTGAGGAGGAGGAGGGGAGGCCGGTTGCTGAAGCGATGGCGGAGGGGAGTAGGGAGTGGGCGGGGAGGGCATTGAGGAGGGAGGATATGGAGGCTTGGTTCTTTAGGTTGTTGCTTGAGTGAGTTTTCCCCTTTTACGTTTCCTCGTCTCTTTTTGGGTTTATGTTTCTTCTTGGAAACCTCCCATGGTTTTTCTGACGCTGTTATCTACGGCTTGCTAACCTGGACTGAGGCAGATATGGGAGAGTCATTGATGATAATAGGGAGAACATTGGTTTTACCCTGTGAGAGCGAGTGTATATATGGCATCTTGGATGATTTTAGATACCCTAGCTTGTAGGAGATGATTGATGACGTGCATATTGGGATTGGCATTTCGCATTGGAGTTCGGGCTTTTTTCTTCTTTTCTGGTATATAGGAGGAAGCTAGACAGAATATCCCCTTCTGATATTACCATCGCATTGAAAAAGGAAACTTTCGCATCAAACTTGCAGCCTGATTATCACTTATTGTCATTGAACTTGGAGTATTGGAGGGTTGTATCTACGTAGTTGCACACCTGGTCAGTAAATGACCTTTTTGATCATCGGGTATCCCATAACCTCGATACTAAACGTTCCTCGCATCATTACATGCGGCCACTTCCCATTTCCCTCATCCCCCTTCAAACCATCACCGTCAAGGCACCTCGTCACTCCTCTTGCCAAGCTACCTCATCACTCGTCTTCATCACCTTCTGCGTCCTCTTCATCAGAATGCGATCCTCCATTCCTCACAGGCGATGAATTATCCCTGCGCCGCTCGCCATCCGCGCCACCATTCGTTTTCTCGGCGCCATTCGCCCTCTCCTGCTCGCCGTCCTCCTCCTCTTCATCCCAGCCATGAGGGTGCTCCTTGTACTTAAGCGCGTGCTCCCTAAGCTCATCGCTAGGATCCTCAACGGTAACCTCGAGCTGGTCCACCACCGTCTGGCCATCGTCCGCCTCGAGACCCCTAGTAAGGTCGATTCGCTTCTGTCTCTGAGGTCGAATGGTGGAGCGTTGCATCACGGGGTAGTACCAAGCCGCCTTCTGTCCCTCGATATCTCCGTCGCTGTAGCCAATGATAAGTTCGTGGCTGTACTTGGTCTTGTGGTCGAGTTCAGTCTCCTTGACCGTCTCGTACGCACGCAACCGGTCGAATTGGAAGCAAGGGCCAGATTCGCCCTGTGCCGTGTAAAGCTCCTCTTCACCATTCTCTGGATTGTCAATGTCGAACTTGGCCCTGAACCGCTGGGCGTCCTCGGCCGTCTTCGTTAGGTAGTAGTCGTAGTTCGTGCAAGGCGCCGGCTTCGAGTGGTTAGTAGGGTCACGCTCCCACATCTCCATCGCCTCCGCATAAGCCGCATCCTCGGCAGGAGTCCGATCGCAAGGCTTGAACAAGCCACTAAGGAGACGCGTATCGTAAGAAGTGCCGCTGTGCACGGGCGCATTGAGGAATTTGACTGTGACGTAGGCGCCAGCATCGGGGAACGAGTCCAAGTCGGGAAGAATGGGGAAGACGTCGACAACCTTCGCGTTCTTCTTCAAAGGGTGCTTCAGCTTGCTGGGGTCGTTGAGATACTTCTCAGCCACCTCGAATCCGTGATCGATCTTTCGACGAATGTTAGCGGGCGAATCGTCAGGTTCAGGCGCGGGACGCTTCTCGGGGCGGCGAAGGTTGTCTTTGTTGATAAGGGCGCCGGCTCCAGAACGGCGGATCGTGGAAGAGATGTATTCGGTTCGGCGAAGGAAGGAGACGGGCTGGTCGCCAGTTTTCGAGCGGGAGAGGGATGCGAGGGGACGGAGGAGTGCTTTGTCATGAGGGTGGACGGAAGGGGTTTCATTCGGTGCTTGGATCGCTAAAGGGGAAATTTGTTAGAGACGCGATTGGGATAATCCATGGTTAGGTGCAGGTAGATACATACAGCTCTCGTCGCCATCAAAAATGCCAGGCATGCCGACGAGGTCCAAGGGCATACCCAATTCGGCATCCGCCTCGATATTTAAGGGCTGCTCGCGGACCAGCCGCGACGCGAAGCCCGGCGTGGTGTACTGTCCACTCGAGAGGCCAGTGTTCGGGATCTCAAGAAGCTTCGGCGGGATCGAAGGCGGAGGGAGGGCGTTGGAATAGCGAATCCTCGCGATGAAGTCTTGGTGGATAACCCGGCCACCGCCGGACGATGAAGATTTGCTCATTGCGTCGAATTTGGATGGAATTATCCCTCTTGGATCTGAAGTCAGTTGCAAGAAGGGATGTGGATGTGAGGGGGGGGATTGGAGTGCTGCAGTGGGTTTCAGCACGAAGTTGGGACGAAGTCGCGGCTGGGGGCGTGATGGAAGAAAATGTGACTAGGGTCTAGCGCGAGGCTGAGATTTGCAGAAGGTACGAACCTGCCAGGGGAGCACTGGTCGCCGCTTCCAATTGCGCACAGTTCCACTGACTCTCAGCACGGAGCGAACTCCACCTCGAACGAGAATCGAGAAGTTGTGATCAGTTGCATGTGGAATATTGTTCCAATAATTCCTAAAATACCGAGTTGGTAATTCTGAGATTTTATGAAGCTTCCGGGTTATCTGTTCCCGAGTCTGTACCCGGCAAACGTTCAATAGCTAAGCGCCTGCCAAGGAGTCGCCAGTGATGACGCGAAACTTCATAGCAAGAATGAACTTTCGAATATTCATTAAAAAAGCTCTATAATTCTGTCCAAGCCATACATCAGTGTTTTTACAAGGCCCACCCAGTAACCAGGGTTTTCACATCGCCGGCCTCCAAGTCGTAACATTATTCCAGCCAGAGTTGATGGCTGTGCCCCGCTCCCAACCCAACTGCCATTTTCACCGAAACCTTGGTACGTGTCTGAGTAGTGATACTCGGATCGCGGAAGAAAGAAGGAAAAAATTTTTGCTGTGTCCTTAGTTGCTGTTCTTGACATAGCTCTTCTTTCCGAAGGAGAAGGGAACGTAGCGGTACTTGATCATGTGCTGAATCTGCCTCCTCACTACAACACCAACACGTGTTAGCACAAATCCCAGCAGGCTGCAGGACAAAGGACGAGGGGACTAGGGGGTAGAACTGACTCGTCAAGACGAAGAGAATGATCCAGTACATGACAAGGACAGGCCAGAAAACTGGCACATTGAAAATTTCGAACCAACTGCACAAGAAGGCAATGCCGATGGCGCGGGTAGCCCAGTACCAGAACTTGAACTCGGGAAGGCGGCGGATGAAGGGCTTGAATTCGTCATCGGCTTTGGTGGGGAGACCGCCCGCGGCGCCATCCTCCATGTCTTGGTCTAAGGCATCGTTCGAAGGGTCAAATTTGGGTTGCAAGAAGGCTAGGAAGAGGTTGAGAAGGTAGATTCCGAGAGCGTAGGCCACTGCGATTCACATGTTAGAAATGATTGTTATCGGGGCTCGTCACTTTTGGCAGCCCTGGAGACGCAGGATTTGAAAAACCAGGGCTCGAGGTGTTCATACCGATGTACCAGCCTTGCGCAACAAAAATCCGGATGAAAAAGAGCACGAGGAAGGTTGCCGTTCCTACCCATCGATATAAGACGAAAGGTGTTGACTGATCGAGGAGAGCTTGGTATCTCTGCTCACGAAAGTTAGCGACACGCCCCCGGGATGCCCGGATATGTATCTCCTAGATAAACTTGCCCTCTGAAGATTGGAGGTGTGTGTAGAGACAGCCTCAAAAGGTGTCTGTTCCGGCTCAATCGAGTTCATCTTGAGGTGGAAAAAAAGGTCTGGGGACGCGAAGACGATGCGGACAGGCTGGCGCGAAGCGTAAGGGCCAAATAAGAGAGTTCCGTGTCAAGTGGCGGAGGATCGGTGCAGATCTCGAGATAAAAGTATTGTAGATTGATTAATTCCTTGACGGAGACTTGCAAGGGTCTAATAGAGAGAGCTCCGTTCCTCAACTCTGCGAAAAAGAACTATCGCGAATTTGATTGAAAGGGGGAAACTATACGTGCCTAGGGGGAAGAGGCGATTTCTAGCTACTTCGTACAATTAAAATTCAGCCACGTAAGTTTGCGACACAGCACTAAACAGGCAGGAAGCGTCTTCCCAGGGGGGGCTGAGGTTTTGCTGCAATTGAACCTATTGTGCCTGCAATGTGTCAAGGCAGAGTGGAGACTTTAGTCATAAGTGGGGCCTCCTTGTGCCTTAACTTTGAACTCTGCCTTGGACTCCCACAGATGCTGACAGCTGTTCGCTCGGCGCTGTAGCCCCCAATCTGAACCGAGGTGACCCGGGACAACATGGAGCGGGAGCTGGTTAGTAATGCCGACCGAAAGCCGATAGTTTCCAGCTCTCCAATAGTTCTTTCATGATGTCTGCAGCTTGCCAACTTGGAATTGGAAAGATTTGGTCTTGGAAGTAATCGCAATCTGCATTGATGCTACTTGGTTATAAGTGCGTCTCCTGCTGAAGCAATTGCCCTCATTAAACGCCTACCTGCCTCGCATTTCCATCTTGAAGTGATCTCTCTATCACTTGAAGCTCTCTCCAACCCCTCCCCCAGTTCCACAATAGCTCTATCAGCCAAGATGAACACTGCCAGGTGCTTGAGGCCAATTGCCTCGCGATTCCAGCCCACCACTCTTCCCCGTGTGGTGCGCCGCTTTTCTTCCAACACCGCCTACGAGTATATCCAGGTTTCTAAGCCGAAGCCCGGTGTCAGCCAAGGTATATAGCTCCCCTCGTCCCCATGTAACGATCTGCCCAGAGTCATATATCAGTGCTTAACAGTGCAAATTTACAACAGTCACTCTTAACCGCCCCAAGGCCCTCAATGCCCTATGCACGCCGCTCATCAAGGAGCTGAACCAAGCCCTTACTGAACTCAATGCGTCGGATGACACCTCCGTCATCATTCTTACTGGCTCCGAGCGCGCCTTCGCCGCTGGCGCTGATATCAAGGAGATGGCCCCCCTCACCTTCTCCAAGGCCTATACCGAGTCCTTCATCGAGTCGTGGTCTCTCCTCACCACCCAGGTCAAGAAGCCCATCATCGCCGCTGTCTCGGGCCACGCCCTCGGTGGCGGATGCGAGCTCGCTATGATGTCTGACCTCATCTACTGTACCGAGAAGGCTAACTTTGGTCAGCCCGAGGTCAAGCTCGGCACCATCCCCGGTGCCGGCGGCAGCCAGCGTCTGACTAGGGCCGTTGGCAAGTCCAAGGCCATGGAGATCATCCTTACTGGGAAGTCCTTCTCTGGTGTCGAGGCTGCCCAGTGGGGTGTTGCGGCGAGGGCGTTCCCCACGTACGAGGCGCTCATGGAGGAGACTCTCAAGACGGCTGAGACCATTGCCGGATACTCTCGAGTTGCCGTCCAGGCGTGCAAGGAGGTCGTCAACAAGAGCCAGGACCTACCTCTCAGGGATGGTGTCGAGTACGAGAGGAGGGTGTTCCACTCTCTGTTCGGAAGTGAGGATCAGAAGGTCGGCATGAAGGCTTTTGCGGATAAGAAGAAGCCCGAGTGGACTCATTCGTAAAGCTGGGGATGGGGGTAGGAGTGCCACGTTGACAATACTGTGTTGATATTGTACAATAGAATAGTACAATAGTATACGGCTTCTTTGGCTATCCTACATGTGCTCGCATTTCTAGAATTTCGGTCTTGCCAGTAGAGTGATGAAAACGTAATTGAGGCCGCCCAAGACGACGGCAACGAGCCCTTGGCTTTGAACGCCCGATATAGCGAACTTGTCTATGCTCCAAGGTCAAGAGAGGGTGGGCTTACAACTCATAAGAAGGGTGTTCCTTGCCAAGTGCATTGGCCCAGGGCTGCTGGCAGCCACCTATCATCGAAATCAATGCGAGTCGGGCATCCTTCCATTTGTACATGGAGAAATCCGCCTTAGTTGGGCACTGAGATGCTTAGAGTCTTGCCACATCAGTCATTTCGCAGAAATTAAAATGCATATGGCTGTCTCGCCCGACTCGCGTGCCTTTCTCTGCACGTCTTACAAGTTGGCTAAAATAGTCTGGTTTGGTAGCCATGGGGCATCGGGTTGGTTCAAGTGTGCCTGACTCGAGGGGATCAGGTCCTTGCATCAAATGGCTGCACCGTTACAGAGGTATTACAATAAATGAGCCTATCCGCCACGGTTACTTCCCGCCATTTTGCGGGGTTTAGCTCTGAACCCCAATTATTTCCCCCCTTTGACCCATTCACATCCACCGCGTACAATACTCGTCGTGGGATTGATGGAACCGACCCCGATTTAAGCTCTAACTCTATCGCCATTCTTCCCGGGCTAGAGAGGTCCCCTGGGAGGGGCACGTAATTACTACAGATGGATATTCCGAGACCAGGTCTCGACCTCGAGAAGGAACTCACTTGCTCGGTAAGCTGATCGTCCCGTCGATCCTATGCCCGCCCGTGTTCATTTCCCCAAGTTTCCATCCTTCCCCTGGTGCACCCTGCGACCGGGGTTGGGGTTCCATCCCCACCTCTAAATCCGAAGCTGTCTAACTCAACGATACCTCCCTCTCTAGATCTGCACCGAGCTTCTATATCAACCTCTTACTCTTCTCGACTGCCTGCACACCTTTTGCGGTGCCTGTCTCAAGGACTGGTTCAGCTTCCAAGCCGCCTCCGCCCAAGATGCGCCGACCCCTCCCGCCCCGGGCACCCCCATCTTCACCTGCCCCTCATGTCGCTCCGGCGTGCGGGACACGAGGCATAATGCCACCATCGCCACGTTGCTCGATCTATACTTGAAGGCGAACCCGGAGAAAGATCGCACCGATGCCGAAAAGGAGGAGATTGCGAGCAAGTTTAAGCGGGGGCAGGAGGTGTTGCCCAAGATTAACGTGGAGAAGTCGCCGGAACAACTGAGGGCTGAAGAGGAGGATCGTAGGCTGATGGAGGAGGTGCGGGCCATGAGCTTAAGGGAGGTGGGTGTTGAGTCTTCGCTGGCACCTACTTCGAGGAGAAGGAGGGGCGAGAGCAGGGACGCAAGCCAAGACAGTCGCACGAGGCGGGCGCGTGAGAGCTCTGCGAGGCCACGGGGTGAGGAGGGGGGAGGACGGACCAGGAGCAGGCATCCTCCCGATAGTAGTAGGCCGTCGGAGGAACGGAGACGTCGACGAAGCGAGTCGACACGACGGCCCGATGAGACGACGGCAGCGGCGGTGGAGGCGAGGACGCGGCAGATTGAGCATCAGTCCTCAATCCGGTCGCTCATCGGCTCTACGAACATGAGTGAGCGGGATATCGAGCGCGAGATTGAAGAATTTGCTCGTCAGATCCAGGAGGAGGGGATTCTTGACGGACTGGACCTTGATAATATCGACCTCGAGAGGGATGATGAGTTGAGTCGGAGGATCACGGAGGCATACAGGAGGCGGCAGAGGGAAAGAGCAAGGCAGCAAGAATCTGCTAGGGAGTCTGGTCGGGAGTCTGGTCGGGAGTCTGGTCGGGAGTCTGGTAGGGAATCTGGTAGGGAATCGACCCGGACCAACCCCGTCGCGACTGACCCGCCCCCGGAGCCGAACCCGCTGGACGCACAACGTCCCCGAGAAGGTGATAGCGGAGCCGGCCGGCGACGGAACTCGGCAGGGGCGAGGATGCATTCCGAAGACCGTAGCCGGACGCAGCAAGGCTCTCACCACCTGGGGGTTCAAGAGGAGCCTCGACATCGCCGGAGGACGGCCAGTTCTTCGCGTACCTCCACAGCCCCAGTCAACCCTAGCCCGATAATTGCTCCGACTGCTACTCGATCGCAAACCGATCTCAGAAGTCATACGCGCCCCGCGAATGTCGCCAATCCGAGGGCTGTACTTACTGAGAGTCGGGGCTCGAGCTCACCTGTCACCGTGCAGAGCCCAGCAGAAGGATCTCACTTGTCTTTTGCGAGCAGAGTACCTCTTCAAAACAAGACCGGCGTTGGGCCTCCAGAGCTACCTAGCCCCACTCGCATGCAGAGACCTCGCCGACCTACCGAACTCTCGCTCGCGAATCGCTCTACTCACAGCAGCCCTCTCGACAGCCCGAACTCCCCAGCCCCCCAACGACCCCCACTCGTATTTGTAGAACCGGCAATCAGCTGCTCGCGGTGCAACAAACAAAACATCGAGTACAGCGTTCACTATAATTGCGGGATTTGCGCGGGTGGGAACTGGAATATTTGTCTGGATTGCTACCGAGCCGGCAGGGGCTGTCAGCACTGGTTCGGGTTCGGCTATGTTGCCCTTGCGAAGTGGGAGAAGGCACGCGCGGCAAACCCTAGCATTGAGCCATTCCACATCCTCAGGGCAAGCCGTTACCTTCCACCTATGATACGCCCTGTCAGGGGAGACGACGGGTGGCTACGTACACCGGAGGACCCGATGGAAAGATTACAGAGCGGGACGTTTTGTGACAAGTGCTTGGCATGGTCCAACGGCTGCTACTGGAGGTGCGATACCTGCAACGACGGTGACTGGGGCTTCTGCAACAACTGCGTCAACCAGGGCCGCTGCTGCTCACATCTACTCCTACCATATGTCTATCAACCACCCTCGACGCACAACACGCCGCCCGCAAGCCCTCGACCTCCGAAGCTCCCGCACAACACGGCTATCTTCACCGGGTCCTCTGCCACGAACCTGAGCAGCTTCCAGTCCCTGACGTTTATGACGAAGTGCGATATCTGCCAGGACCAGATCCCCCCAACGCAGAGCCGATACCACTGCTTCGAATGCGTGAGTTCTGTGGATCCGGATACGCAGCCAGGCGACTACGATGTTTGCGTATCCTGCTACACGGACCTCGTCAGCCGGCGGCGGATTAGCCCCGAAAACGGTCCGAGGGGGTGGAGAAGGTGCTTGGCCGGTCACAGGATGGTCATGATGGCGTTCCAAGAGAGCACAGTGGGACAGCGGAGATATATTGTGCGCGATCTCGTCGGCGGACGCCGGCTCCGGACCAACCCTGTCGAGGGAACCTCGGCGCTGGTTTCCTGGTGTTGGCCGCAAGGCGACCAGAAGCTGGGACGGCTGGTTACGACGGACGTGGCCGCCACGGCACCGGCTGTCCCCGAGGGAGATGGCGCTCTGCCAGAGGGGGTCGTGCGCGTCCAGACCTTCCCGCCAGATGGAGGACTGGGGCTAGTAGCCAGGGCAAGATGGGGTTGGCTTCCAATACACCGGCAACGGGGAGAGGACGAGTTGTATTTCCCACGGAATGCGGAGATTCGCGAAGTTGAGGAGGTTAATGACGAGTGGTACGTTGGGTCTTATATGGGCGATGTGGGCCTATTTCCTGCGCCATACGTGCGGCTCTTCTCGACATGAAGCTGGGGTGATGGAATATCATGATGACGATTCAAGAATAACTTGTATGATTTCTATCTCTGCATAGCCATGCGTAACGTTGGAAAGGGCATTTTCAATATTTTGGAACCTAGTAACCGAAGAGTAAATATTACATGGCCTACGAAATCGAGCTTGAGCCCTGGAGACAGGGAGACAAGGGTGCATGTGAGGCATTGGGGCGGTTTCCCGAAATGTCTTAGCGGCCGATGACGAGATCGAGAGCGCCGGAATAGCGGCTTTTTCTGACCCCACCGGCTCCCGACATTTATTGATTACATTGAACAATTCAAACCTTGAAAGCTGTGGTGTTTCCTCCCGCGATCCCGACAAGCCCGAGGAAACTTCCTCTCTTCTACACCTCACACATTTGTTTTTCCTCTCCAGTGTCGGTCAATTGGGTCCAAGGGAATCTAGGTTGTTCCCCATCTCTCCTCACTTCCCCCCCCTCGAGCCACCTTTTTCTTCTTCCTTTCCCAACCTCCGACATCGCTTCATCCGCCATGTCTCAATTTCCAATCATGCTCCGACAAGGTGTTCTGCGGAGGGGCGTCCGTATGTTCGCGACGGCCGTTGCTCCGCGCGAGCCCAGCGCGCATACGATCGCCGTGTCGAAGGCGCAGGGTATTTCCAATAACCTGACTGAAGGTAACAACACACGCTCTCTGACCTTGACACTCGTGGTGGTACGACCTCGCTAACCTCCCAATCCAAACTCCCAACAGCCATCGGAAACACGCCCCTCATCCGCCTCACCCACCTCTCTAACGAAACCGGCTGCAATATCCTCGGCAAGGCCGAGTTCATGAACCCCGGCGGCTCGATCAAAGACCGCGCAGCCCTCTACGTAGTCCTCGATGCCGAAGAGCGCGGCCTCCTGCGCCCGGGCGGCACCGTCGTCGAAGGCACGGCGGGAAACACGGGCATCGGCCTCGCCCACGTGTGCCGATCGCGGGGTTACAAGCTCGTCATCTACATGCCCAACACGCAGTCCCAGGGCAAGATTGATCTACTGCGACTCCTCGGCGCTGAGGTCTACCCCGTGCCCGCCGTGGCCTTCGAGAACCCGGAGAACTACAACCACCAGGCGAGGAGGCACGCTGAGGCTCTCGACAACGCCGTGTGGACGAACCAGTTCGATAATATTGCGAACAGGAGGGCGCACATCGAGACTACGGGCCCCGAGATCTGGACGCAGACCGAGGGCAAGGTCGATGCGTTTACTTGCTCGACTGGCACGGCGGGTACGTTTGCAGGTGTTACGCGCTATCTGAAGACCGTTTCGGACGGGAGAGTCAAGGCCATCCTCGCCGATCCCCCCGGCAGCGTGCTCTACTCGTACATCACATCGGGGGGCAAGCTCACCGAGCGCTCTGGGTCTTCCATCACCGAGGGTATCGGCCAGGGTCGCGTGACGGATAACTTGAAGCAGGACATCGACCTCGTCGACGGCGCGGTGAGCATCAGCGACGCGAAGAGCATCAACATGGTCTATAGGTGTCTAGATGAGGAGGGTCTCTATCTCGGCGCGAGCTCGGCGCTCAACGTCGTCGCCGCTAAGGAAGTTGCCGAGAAATTGGGCAAGGGAAGTACCGTTGTGACGGTGCTTGCTGATGGTGCCTACAGGTACGCCGATAGGCTGTTCTCGAGGAAGTGGTTGGAGAGCAAGAACCTTTTGGGTGCGATTCCTAAGCATCTTGAGAAGTATATTGTACTACCTTAGAGAGAGAGGGACATTGAGGTCTCTTGTTGTGTCGTATTTCTGGTTAACCTGCTGTCGTCATATACGTATATATATATACCAATACAGCATTTTTGTACATCTTTCCTTTCTTGAATTATTTTTCAGAAACGAGAACTGCTTGCGGTTGTAAATAAAAAGACACGCGTAGATCGATTTGTAGATATACATGTTTAATTGTTTTGAACCTATATCTTTTACATCTCCTGAGCTGATGCCCATGATTTTTTTTGGTTTCCCTCTATTATACACGAATCTGCAGTATACATCCCTTCTCGTCCACGCGAAGAGAAAGATCTCCCTAGCCTACCAAAACTCAAGCCTTCTTCGCAATGAGCTTATCATAGACGTCCCAACCCCTCTCCGCCTTCAAATTCGCCGCCTTATCAGCATCCAAATCGCGCTTCAACAGCTCCGCAATGGGCTCCAACTGAGCCGCGAGCTCCGGCGCGACCACCTTCTTCGCCAACTCGATGCCGTTGAGGACGAAGCTTCCGACGGAGATGCGGCACGTCGTAGACTGGGAAAGGTAGCCGTCATCCTCGTCCTGGAACCTAAGAACCTCGGAGTACTTGGTTTCGGGGCTAAGCTTAGACTGGTGTATCTCCCGAAGACCCCTCTCGGCGGGCCACACGTGAACGAGGGTCTCGGCGAGCTCGGCGACCTTGCCGTCCTCGTCTTTGCAGTCCTGGTGGTAGACGGCGCGGGCGGCGGCCATGTGGAGGACCTGGCCGACGACCTGGGGCTCACGGTGCAGGGGGATGCGTCCGGGCCACGTGGGGTTCTTCACGTGGTCCTCATCCTCCATGAGTTCCCTGAGCATGATGGCCCACTTCTTCGCCTTCGTCGTCTCCTCCTCGGCGAACCCGCTCTTGACGGCTCCCATCTGGATCCAGTACAAGATCAAGTCCGCGCGGGGCAGAGTCCTGATCCTCAAATCCGACTCCTTGACGTTCCTCAACGCGTCGAGAATGGCGTAGATGTTTCCCGACTTACCGGCATTCGCAATGATGTCCTTGACGTCGTCGGTCCGAATGAGCCGTCCGGCGTTCCTGTAACCGGCCAGCATCCGTGAGAGGTTGGCCCAGTCTTCGCGCGTGGACATGAGACGGACAGCTTGGCGCATGAGGGGGCGGGAGGCGGGGATCGTGCCGTTGTGGAAGTCGAGCGTGTCGAAGCGGTGCTCGTAGCCGTCGACCTCGATGACGATGGGGTCGACTTGCAGCTTTTGGCGGTATTTTTCGTTGAAGACGATCTTGCGCTTCTTCTTGGGGAGGCGCGCGGGGAGGATGATTTTGTGGAGCATCTCGGTGAGGACGGCGTCGAGTTCGGGGCTGGAGGTCTTGTCGAAGATGACTTTGCTGGCTAGGAGCAGAGGGGGAAGTTGTAAGAAATTGCGTACTTCTCGGGGAGAGAGCAAGTAAGATGCGGTTGGGGAGTGCGTGGGAAACTTACAGAGGGAGTTTGACGAGGTGAACGTCCTCTGCTGGTGCCATAATTGCTGGGCGACTATGCTCACAGAGCCATTCTGTATTATCCGACTCGACGACGAGGCTGCCCTGAGGGCGCTCGCGAAGGGGTGCCGAAGCATCGTGCTCAGGCACAACCAGGAAGGCTGCGCGGAGGGAGGCCTTTAGAAAATCCCCTTGGATATTGAGGGATGTCGTCGGGAGAATGATTCCTGGAGGTTAGGCTGAGCGAAGTTCTGAATAGCTTCTCTGTCCGTTCCTCCTCGTTTCGTCGGTCTCGTGTCTCCAAAAATTTGTAGATGGACTTGGCCAATGGCTTGACAAACGGTTGGTAGCTCCTGCCAATTCGGCTGAACTTCGCAAAACCACCATCTGCGCTTCCAATTGGCTAGAACAGGAGATCCCAGCCAATCAGGTGTCTCAATGTACCAAGAACCAAAGCTCGTCTTCGACTCCATCAATTTTTTTGATCTCAAAAAACCTCGAACGACTCTCGCAAAAAACTGTCACGAGGTTTCGGTTCCCCGAAGCCACCGCATCGCAACTATGAACGCGTTACCGATCCGGCGGCCTCTCGGCTGCCTCAAGACGATCCTCCGTCAAACGCGTTATCACCGCCAAATCCAACGCACCTTCGCAACCGAGACCTCTTCCTCAGAACCCCCGACGTCGACGCCATCCACCACGACATCCCAATTCCGTCTCCGTACGTTCCCGAACCAACCATCCTCTTTCCCAGCAGTTCCCGGCTCTCCCCAAAAAACACAGGCCTCGTCCTTTGAAACTAACATTGATATGAACAGACAAGCCGAAAACCCACAAACCCACCCCCTTCGCCGTCTATGCCCCCCCCTCCCATCCCGCCCCAACGACCCCCAAAGACCCCATGCCCCCCTTCCACGCCGCCTCCATCGCGACCCTCGACCCCACCGGCGCCCGAACGGCCCTCTTCTCCAAATCCCGCCCGGACCGCGCCAAGGTCGGCGACGTGCTCATGGTGACGACCCACCGCGGCGAGCCCTTCGCCGGCGCGCTGATGCAAATCCGCCGCAGAGGGGTCGACACGGCCATCCAGCTCCGGGGCAACCTCATGAAGACGGGCGTCGAGATGTGGTTCAAGATTTACTCGCCCGCCGTCATGGGTATCGATATCATCTGGAGGAGGCCCAAGCGCGCGAGGAGGGCTAGGTTGACGTATTTGCGGAAGAAGAAGCATGATATGGGGAGTGTGGATCATCTTGTTTGGGCGTGGAAGAGGGAGAGGAGTCAGTTGCGGTCGTCGAATAAGGGGAAGCATTTGGGGACTGTGTTTGAGAGCTCGTAGGTTTTGGGGGGAGATGGCAGAAGGAGGGAGGAATGTGTGTGTGTCTCTCTTCCCTCCTCTCCGTGAGTGTATGTTTGTTGTATGATGGATGGTTCAGATGCAGAGTAGGGGCTGAGAGGGATGCATATGTCTGTCTTTTGTAAGGGAGACTATCTTCCTCTTGTCAGAAATAGTTTGTGTACAATATATAGAAAGGTAAATGCTCGGTTGGCCTATGTATCTCCTCCAACATCGTGTCTTGCACCCTCTACAAAACCTGTTTGCTACATTGTCATCACGGCTAACCCTCTACTAATCAGGACACTAAAGTAGTGTAAATATTAGATAGCCAGTGCTTTCCCAGTTTTATTCCAATCCAATACGCCAGGTCCTTGTCTATCTAGAGAGGTATATATATATGTAATGTTCTAGTATGCTGCGCTCGGTCGTCAGCTCGTTTGCTTCTTTAGCATCGGTCATTCAGACGATGCAACGAGAGTGCAAAATTCAAAAAATCAGTCTTCAAGGTATACAAAAAGACAGTAAAACTCAAAAGTTCCCTCCTATATGCGCCTGTGGATCGCGATTAATTTTTTCTTTTCACCCACCCCTGCTCAGAGAATAGGTAAACAACCCAAAAGGACAGATGAAAGGTTAAAGGAATACAAATTCCAAACATTTTAACGCCGGCGTCGGGGCCCCATCGTCAGTCCAGGGCTCGAGCCATTATCCTCCAAAAGACGCCCGCCTCACTGCGGAGGAGCTTCCCGTGTAGGTCTTGGCTCGTGTCACAGGGTGGACGCTCTCGACATCGTCGTCTTCATCCGAGGCTGCCACCGTGGCCGCCCTCCGCAGGGGAAGATCGTAGGGCAAAGTCTCGACAGACATTCTCCGGTCCATCTTAGCCGGGAGGCTGGGTCCAGGTTGCAAGATCTGTGCAAATATACTGGTGCTAGGTCGCTCAATCGTTCGCGGCCTTGTCGTGGTGGAAATACGCCGGGAGAGGCCGGTAGCCGAGCCCGTTGACACGGCCGTGCTCGTCCTTGGCAACAACCCTGGTCCGGGCTCCGCTGCTTCCTTGGCGAAACGAGACTCACTAGGAAGCAGAATCGCACGATCGAGGCTGTATGGTAGACCACGGTGACGACCACGGATCTGCGTCGCGATGATGACGAGCTTTCCGACTGTGCTAAACTGGGAGCAGAGCGACGCGTCAACCGTGTGGTAGCCCATACTCAACCCGACAGTGCCGTACGCACTAATCACCTCGAACAAGACGTCGAACAAACTGAAATCCCTCTTCTCCAATCGACTGGCCTCGGAAATAGACAGAATAAAGAGCGACAGGAACACGAACCACATATCGAAAGATAACTGGCGTCGCAAGTGACTGCTGATGTAGTTCATTGTGCTCATTCCGAATGCGTCGTCCTCGGCGTGTGGGGCGTATATGCCCAATGACATCTCCTCGTATACGTTCGTTCCACGCATCGAAATGGCGGTCGGGAAGACGGAGATATACATCATGAAGAGGTAGAGCATCTGGGCACCGGGGTTGAGTAAATTGAGAGGAAGACAAGAAAATCCAGCTGTTCTCGTGGACGCTGCCTGGAAAAGGCCATCGACGATCCTAATATTCCAGGGCAAGTCTTGGATCACAGGATTGTTAAGCTAGTTCGGCAGATAATTTATCAGCAACAGTTCAAAGAAAATTGGGACAAAGAGCCCGGTCAAGTGAGATCTCCAGGAAGCAGAAAAACAAAAAGACCACTTACATCGAGGATCAGGAAGAAAATGAGGTCGACAACATTCAAGCCCACAAGGATCGCGAATAGCCACCACGTCGCGTTTGAAGGGAATAGTAGGGTAAAGCATCGACGGGGATGATCCAGAAGGAACATCAACTCTTCCCAAAGACCGGTGCCGCGGGGAACGATGCGAGAAAAAGCCCAAATCATGAAGCGCAAGAAGATGGGAAATCCGGTGTTCCCAGCAATGATGAGGAACCATGAGATCATCATGATAAAGGTAGATGTATGGAAGGACATCATGCTGTCGGGTGTGAGCGTGAGCCCGAGATCCATGAAAGACGAGTTTGAGGTGTAGAAGCTCCACCAAGTCCGGGAAACTCCAGCGGCATCTACCACGGCGCCGTACTTCTCTTTGTTCTTAATGTAGGGCAACATGCAAACGAGACCGAAGACCTGGAATGCCCAGAAATAGATGACCAGCAATAAGGCGAGAGTTCGTAACGAACGATACTCAATGCCACCCAATTCTTCTCTCTGCTCCAATGTCAACCCCGGAAACTTGGAATTTCGGCCGGTAGTCGGAGTCCAACTGAGATATGGCGCCTCCTCCACCTCCTTACGTCCAAATAGTTCTCGGATCTTGGCGAAGATGTTTGTTCCCCTTGATTGCGATTCATCCGAATCGTTGCTGTCAGCATGATGCACTTTGTCTTTGGACTGGAATAGTCGGGGTTTCCGGAACCTTAATGGGCTAAATGTGTTGCCAATGGCTCTAGCCTCATCAGCAAAGTCATCCATCGCGCTTCTTTCCGGCTCGTGGTGCAAGTGGTGGAGTGTGTGATGCCTATCTGGTTCTTCGATGGTGATGACAGGGTTCCTGCGCCGTAGAGGATCCGGCAACTCTTCCTGGTCCTGGCCTTTATTGTTATCATTCATTGCCTTCGAGGGTTTCTTGGCTTTACCCGTGTGGTGCTCTTCGTCCTCCTCATCCTCATCCGGGGTACTCTCTCCAACCTCCAATCGCTTCGGTCCAATACCACGTTCGGCCTCTCTGGGGTTCGGAATGCGCAATACTTCGCTATTGTGCCTCTCAAGCGCGGGCATTTGCTCGTCATCGTCGTCATCATCTTCGACGTGATGGGGGAACTTGGTAGCGTCCTGTCCAGCTCCATCACTCCTCGTGACAGTCGGGGCAAAAGATATCGAGTGATGTTGATTTGAAGGGCGAGAAATGCCGTCGTCTTCGGCGTGTTGGTTTTTGCCCACGGTACTATCACTGTCCCGGTCGGAAGCTTTCGAAGCAGAACCGCTGTCTGACGGGCCTGCTGGAGTAGCCATCATAGGAAGCTCACTGGGTTCAAGCGGACTACCGTCGTTCGCAATGCGCTTCCCCGATCCTCGGAGAATGGTGATTTTTCTGCCATTGACACCTCTTTCGAGGCGAGAGTTGTCGCCACCCATAGATTTAGACCGAGACAGGGTGCCTCGACGGTTCCGAGCGTCGCGGACATAATTCTGTAGACGTCTTTCGAACCAGTAGAGTCGGATGAAAACGACCGATCCGTGTAGGGTGATTGGGCACGACATCATAGGGATGATGTAAAGGACGACCTGTTGAAATGTGTTCAATGTGTTCATATCAACGGTATTCAAGCCGGCCTGTGTATTGGCACCAGAAGCAAAGAAGAGCGCATCCACATAGGCAAGTTTGCCCTTTCCAGTGCCGTACAAAAGAATAGAGCCGAAGATAGTCATGCCAATGATCCAGAAGTCTAATTCCAAGGCATGTTAACAAGACCTATTGTCTCAAGATCGAGACGAGAATGGATAGAGCGAATAAGGGGACAATGGGCAACACATACAATGGACAGAGATGAAGTTGAAATGCGGGTCCTTGCTGAGAAAAGATGGCTTGAGAGCCTTGATTTGGGTCCATAAGAACCCCCTTGCGGACTCGAGAAACCCCATCTTGACGGTTGTTTGTGCGTTTGCGACAGGTTAGGGTGAGAGGAAGCGGGAGCAGAGGCGCAATCCCGATCGCGATCGTGTAAGAAGGAGAGGAGAGAATGCGACGGCTGAGTGAAGAGCAGGTTTTCTTCTCCGAGTATTCACAAGGAGCAACCACTCTGGGCGCGCTGGATTCCTTTTTTTTTCTGTTTCCAAGAAGCCGGCTGACTGGCGGTAGGCCCTAGGCGCAAGCTGAGCTGATCTCTGATGTTGGTCTAGATATTGGGAACGCTCGAAATAAACGGTTTAATAAGAGAGTTGGTGAAGAAGATTGCGATGAATGTGGTGTGCTACCTAATGGCCCGTCTAGAGGCAGAAGAAGCGGAGGTCGACTTCGTGCCAATATTCATGATGATGATGGAGCTAGGAGGAGGGATTGGCTAGTTCCTGTGGGAAGGATGTGGTTCAATGGAGAGATCAGGATAGATGAGAAAGAACTGAGGAGGGAGCGCAGGAGATGAAGTTGAGGAAGACAACGATGGAGGTTGCAATCAATGATGCGACGGAGAGGGCAATCCCATGTGATAAGGAGGAAGGGTCAAATGAGGATTCTGATGCTGGACCAGGATGAGAATGGCATTGTCAGAGCATCGATAAATCGCCAGCTGGGATTGAGGCAAGGGGGTCCTTGAGACCTCGCAGGACGCAGAGGCAGAGGATAGAGGGATTGAGATCAATACGATAAAAGTGACTTGAGCCGAGTTTATGAGAGCAGCTCCAATTTTTGATGAACCTAGACTTGGCTTGGGGGGGAAGAGGGCATGGGGCAAATCAGTGGGAACGACAATGAAGGGTTGATGGCAAATATCAATTACAAACGAGAAAGAAAAAGATTAGACCAGGAAGTAAGAAGTACACCACTTCCACTCTCCAGTACGAAGTACATTGACGGCATTCACCAATGAGTCTCGTGGTGTGTCAATTGAGGGATCGAGTCTAGTCCAGTCGTTAGGAGGCGCGGAAAAGTTGAGAGTGACGATGAGAGGGACTCCGAAGTACAATTCCGGGTACAAAGGTTACTTCGACATGCATTGATACGTTCTATTGGAGAGAATGGCTCGACACCAGAGTGGCTCGTATCAACTGTCGAATAGCCAAGCGAGAAGATATTGATGACCTGCGCTGCTAACCCAAATCACTGGAAACGTCAACAATGCCTCAGTACATCAGTACTTCGCCTGCAAATTGCCCAAAATTGTTGTTGTCAGCTTAGTTCCCCACTAAACAATGAACTGGCGCAACCTTGTCATTAAGTGCTGGACCCCCTGGGCAGTGGGTAAACAGTGCTATGCAGTGCTATACAGCGCTAAACATGCCCCTTACAGTGCAGTCGCAGGAGTGCCGCATTTCTGACCCACCAGCTTCCTGCCGTCCATGCCCCGTTCATTGATCCTTGTTTGGGCCTGTCCTCGCAGTTAAACTTGATGCCAATCTCCGATGTTGAAGAGACGCGTGTTCTGTCGTCGCTGGAGGCCTTTGGGGGGGGGATTCGTATCTTTATTGTTGTCGCTCGAAAGCCCTCCAGGTATCCTTTTCCTGGATTACACGACTTCATACTTGCTGACTTCACCTCGATTCAACAACTTTTGATTTGATGGCAGTCCAAGTCCCGATGCCAGCCGATGACGAAGTGTCGCCTCAAGTGCTCTCTTTTTCCATCTCGTATCATGAAATACCTCGTAGATGTAAGAGGCTTCAAATGCTCCATTCTCTTCAAACGCTCTTCAAATATACTTCGGATATCAGAGTACTCGGTATTCGGAATCTTTCCACTGACAAGAGCAGTGCCGGCAGCCCTCAGAGACAGCAAAGGGTAACACCATGTCTCTTTACGGACATATGTCTCCTGTCCCAATGAAAGCTCCTGCATTTCAGGGAGCCGAGGGTTCGCTTACACCACGTCGCCACACCCTCTTCCTGTCACCCTACGAAATATGTCTGACAATGGACCTGTCGCGCACTCCTGAGTTGAAATGTGCTCGTCCCATGGCACAACGCGCCCATTCGGACATGATGTCACTCACAGTCGAGGGGAGTCGTGAGATCACTACCCAAGGCGGCTAATGCGCCAAGTGACGAGCTCTCGTTTCCCGAGGGCTTTGATGGTCTTGAGACCCCGAACCTCGTCGAATGACGCTGAAGAATCCTGCCCGGCGCGAATGCCCTCTCCTCTCCAACATCCCTAAACCTCTTCTAGCCTCACTAAGTTCTTCCCGTCCAACCCTCCATTGTCCCGGCCAACTCAATTCGCATGGCCCAGAACGCCGCAGAACAGACGAAAAAAAATGTCTCTCGCATGTGATACATCATCCCATCATCCCTTTCTCCCTTGATTTGCCCTCCTTTTCCCTCCCACTCCTCAACATTCCTTCCAACCGGCGGTGTACCATCCTCCTCCCGTCCTATTCAGAGAAACCACAATTGACGGAGAAATTTCTTTCTTTTTTCCTCAACTCTCACATCTTCAACATTTCTCTCCTCCCTGCTGAGCCGTCCTTCCTCATCAAATAGAATCCAAGAGCTCCGACACATGGCTCCAGCAAATATTTCTCTCCCCCATGTCGACCGGGCTCTTTCCCCTTGCTCTGCCGTTTCCCGCCTCGTGGGACCGACCCGCCGGGCGTAACCTCACGGACACAAAAAAAAAAAAAAAAAAAAAAAAAAAAAGAGAGAGAGAGAGAGAGAGAAAAGCAAAGCTTGCTGGGAAAGGAGGCTTCCCGCGCCATTCTCATCCCGGAGTTTCCAAGCTTCATTTGATGCTTACGGCTCGGATCTGCAAGCTTTCGTTTTCCGCTCAGCTTCGTCCCTTAGGTACTTCGTAGCGTTATCAAAATTGACATCGGCGACGGCTCACAATATTAGTGATTAAGAGAGCGGAGAGTAATCATTTTCCTTGAAAATCCGTGGAACATAATCTTGACGGACAGCACCATGCATCTCCCGCTCCGTCCTTCGCAGATCCCGGTACATCTCGGGAGAAAGCGCGCCGAAGGGCAACTTCAGGACAAAGCTACATTCACCTCGGTACCGCGTACATTGAGATATGACTTTTTTTTTTTATTATCTTCATCTTTTTGTCTAGGCTTTTCTATTGGAGTTTCGTGGGAAATATGCACGTATGAGCTCGTGCGTGCAGCTGCATAGAGCTGTGAATAATATGTGCGCGATGTTTCCGCATGGTCTGTGTGAGCTGGCAGTCAACCCCTGTCATACCACTCACTATCGTCCAATCTGAAATGTTTCCCTACCACCGATTTGATATGCCGGAGACTCCAAAACTTCAATATAGTACAATCATTAAGCAAGAGAAGAGGGCGTAGGATGCGGCCCAACAATCTCACTCAAAGTATCATCGGGCACGTTTCCTTCTCTTCATGCTTCATGCGTCGTCGTCATAAGTCCAACCTCCATTAGACCAAGACGCGGCAGGTTTGCGTGGGACCGGACCAGCCAGCTCCTCACGTCCCCGTCCGGGCTCTCTCCTTTTCCCTCTCCAACTTCTTGAAGAAGGCGCTCTGGGGCTTCTTCTTTTTCTTCATCAGGCCCTTGTTTACGCCCTTGTTCTGTTCCACATAAGCCATGTCCTGACCGCCACTAAGCTCCATGAGACTGCCGGCCGCCCTCCGCACGGCGCCTTTCCTCCTGCCCGCGCCCTTGCCGTGCCACATATTGTCAACCTCTTCCTTCTCATACGTCTCGTTCTCGATCATAATCTTCTGCAGCAGCTCTCGCCGCTCGGCCGCCGTGGAGAAGGCCAGGTCTGGCGTCTTCTCAATGTTAGCGAGCTGAGTAATCACCTTGAAGGCGTAGCCCTGATCGACAAGGAAGGCCTGGCGCTTGTGAGAATAGTGCATCTCCTCCGTATCCTTGGACACGAGCGAGTAGAAGAAGGCATTAAAACCCTCGTCGTTCCTTCGCTTAGCTCGCAGGATACGTCCAAGACGCTGAGCCTCCTGACGTCGGGATCCGTAGTGAGATGAGATTTGAATTAGGCATGTAGCCTCAGGGAGGTCGAGAGATGTGTCGCCAATCTTAGATAGGAAGAGAGTATTGACCTTAGGATTATGCTGGAAATTCAAGAGAATCCGCTCGCGTTCTGGCTGGCCTGTCCCGCCATAGATAAGCGCCTTTCCAAGCTTGAGCGCATAAGCCTTGAGGGCGTAGATGTTATCTGAAAAGACAATAATCTTATCGCCTCGATTCTCATGGTAGTCGATGAGATACTGGCAGGCCTGGAACTTATGAGGGTTCATGACATAGAGCAAGGCCTTTTGGCGGGAGCTTGCTCGCAGGTACTGGTCAAAGAACTCCGTTGGCATTGGGCACCACACCTCAGCACACTGTACCTTGGCGATGTGCCCTTGTTCTGAAAGCTCCATCCAGTTCGCCTCGAACAGCTTCGGTCCAATAAGGAAATTAAGATCTGAGATCTTGTCATCCTCTCGAAGCAGTGTCGCTGTGAGACCAAGTTTTGAATGGGACTTGATCGACGACGTAACTTTTCGGAAAATGTTAGCTGGTACGACGTGGACCTCGTCGAGGAGCATAAGACCCCATTCGCGACCAGTAAGAAAGTCCATCATCTTCTTCGCTTCGTGAGACCGCTCTCTCGTCTGGGTGACCATGGAATACGTAGTAACGATAATACCCGTATTGCCCGTAAACATGTTGTTCTTGGAATCAGCCGTGAAGGCCACAATGTCGTCGGGGCTGATGTTCGACCACTTCAGAAACTCGTTTCGCCACTGCACCACAGACATGGAACTTGTGCAGAGTACAATTACGCCCTTCTTGATGGTTACCGCTGCCGTGATGCCAACTAGCGTCTTACCCGCGCCGCAAGGCAGCACGATAATACCGCTCTTGGCTCGTCCGTTACCAAACATCTTACTGAGGGACTTCTCTTGGTACGGTCGAATCGAAGTACCCGGGCGGAGATCGATCTCGAGGTTAGGGTTCACCTCGTCTCTTCTAAAATCGTACTCCTCCAGTACCGGGTACTCGAGTTCAAGGCATCGTTTCTGTACGGTTTCTACTGCGCTGTCGGGGATCTCAAACGAATGCGTGACCTCTTCGTCTTCGTCCTCGTCATTTAGGTTGGCATAAAGTACGCTATCGTCGGGCACTTCCTGGTCCTTGGCTTGGGGAGCCACCTGCTGAAGGGCTGCCGCGGCCTGGTTCACTCCCGCCGCATTCTGCGTGCCAGGGATGACTAGACCTGCCATCTTGGGCGCGCTCGTCGTGATCGTATCTGATCCCTGTACCCGGAGCGGCCCGATGACCTCGTCCTTCAAGAGCTTCTGCAGCACCTCTGCATCCGGGCTCTCGACGTAATACTTCGTATTCTTCAGCACGAGCTTGACCTTTCCGTAACTTTGCGTGCAGCCATGGATAAACTGGCGGATGGTGTCGGGAAGAGGTATCTTAAGAAATCGGTCTAGTGTGTTTATGATGTCATCAGGAGACAGACCGACCGACACGGCGGCGTAAAGGCTATGCATCGTCAGGGCATATTCATGGATGAAGCTCGGTCGGGAAAGCGGTTCGGAGATTGTGATGAGGAAATCCTGCGCCTGCGCAGCGAGTGGGTTGAAGCTCTCCATGATGATGCGGCCCTTCGCCGGGTCGATCCATAAAGGCCGGTTCTTGTGGTCGGGCTTCATCTTGAGGTACGAGTAATCGCGGGATCCGAAAATGTGCGTGAGCAGCTCATGATTCGACTTCTTCGCCCGGGTCTGGTCTTGATATACGCGCCGCTCCAGCACGTTGGTGGAGAACTTGTCTACGACCTTCTCAATCTTCTCCTCTGTTTCCGCGTCGACTGGGTTTTCCACCTCGTCCGCCGTATCCGAGTATTCATCGCTGCTATCGATGCTCTTCGGTGTCGATACGCCGGGGGTGGAAACTTGCGACGTCCGGCCTGTCTTTGTCGCCCCGGTTACGGCACCCGACGCCTTCCTCTTGGGAGGCATTTCGGATGGATGTGGGAGGCGATATCAGAATCAAAAGACGATATTTCACAGCGTTTGATTGTTGCCTGCTAACAATAAGGTTGCTTGAGAACTCGGGAGGCAAAATCGACAACCTCTATTGTATCGATACCTGCGGGTTGAGGTCAGGGTCGAGAGGTGCAGAGAAAGAAGAAGTGGCACAAAAGAACGGATTGAAGGCAACCAGAAGTAGGCAGTCACAGGGAAGGACCGGGTGACAAATACATTCAGAGACCGGGCAAGGCCGATCGAGGATGATGAAGAGGGGCCGTGATTTGGTGACCATAGCCACTAACGCTGGATAACTGGAGGTGAATAAATGTGCTAAAAAGAAGTAGTATGGTGACTAATCATTACAACCTTCTGGAAGACTTGACTTGTGACTTGGACATGGACTTGCTTGGCTCCAATAATAGATCGATGCATCACCACAGTATCAAACATCAGCGCCCGTGTTAGTAATACCGAGTACCGCCACCTGGAAATCAACTTCGACGAAGTCTTCTCCTCTAGCCTTTCACCACACTCGCAAAGAAAACCTCATCGTTAGATCCCTTCAAGATGTGGTATGTTTGGAAAGACACCATTCGTACCCTTGGTCTAATATCCAGCTAACACTTACTTCCAGCAAACACATCCTCAACGCCCAAGTCTCCATCCGAGCGCCTTGTTGTATGCAAACAGACCCCACCTCACCATTTCCCACCCTTTTGCTAACCTCAGCTCGTTTCCCCTCCAGGCCGCAAATGGTTCGACTGCGCCGAATGCCACGCCGAGAATGAAACCCACCCTCTCCGCCAGCAACTCGAGCTCGTCTTCGCCTGCAAAAAGTGCAAGAAGTGCTTCCGCAAGGACGCCCAAGAGTTCGAGGAGGCCGACGAGTATTGCCCCCACTGCGATAACCACTTTGTGCTCGATGCCGTCACACCCAAGGCTGCGCTGACGGTCGAGGGCACTGATGCGCGCGTGGACAACAGGATGCTCAAGGATGAAAGAATGAAGGGCGAAGAGCAGAGGACGGTGTTTGATTTGAAGGACGACGCTGATAAGCTTGGGTGAAACTGAACCTGAAAATCGGGGCGGATTTGTACGACGTTTGATGATTTTTGATACCTGATGAGATGACCGAAAGAAGGAGGAGATACGATTTGGGAGAACACATGGGAAGGCTTGCATGAGTTCACGGAGCATCGTGGCGTATTATGGAAGTAGGAGTCCGTACCACAAGGTTGTACATCGCACCGCTCACGGCGTTACTGGATGGGAGGGTTTCACCGTCGTCATATTTTAGATACGGAAACAAAAGCAAATACCCCTGATAAATTACCCTGTCTACACATGATGATACAATCCGGACATGAATAAAGCGTGCATGCTAACGACGGCATCATGGAACCCTACGGGCAACCTCTCCTCAAGACTCCTCCTGTCCCCTCGTGAGAATTGTGGCGCTTCCGGTTCCTGGGGTCCTGCCCGTCTTCTTCTTCGCCGCTTCCTCTTGCTTCTCCTGCTCAATATTCTTGACGAAACCTTCAATCTCCTCAACCGAGAGCATCTCAACGGGCTTTCCGGGCGCCATGAGGACAATCTCGATGTTCTTGGCGCCCGTCTGGACGACCTCGAGGAGGGACTTGATGGCTAGTCGGACGGTCTGCTCGCGGTCCATGTCCTCCTTGTAGTTCCGCTCGAGGAATTCTCGTACAGTCTTGCTCGATCGGCCGATGGCATTCGCTTTCCTGTTTTCGAAGTTAGAAATGCTGTCAGGGAAATGGTCTTGCGATACTCCGCCCAGGAGGTCCACAACTTACCACGCCGAGTAGATACCGGAAGGCTCCGTCATGTATAGCCTAGGTACTTTGCTCTCCTTATCAAAACCCACCACCAGATTGCTAATACCGAACGGCCGCACACCACCACTCTGAGTATACCTCTGCTGTACGGAGGCGATGTACTTGGTGATGTATTCAATCGTGACGGGGTCCTCCACCGTAAGCCTATGAGACTGCGCCTCGAGTCGCGCCTTGTCGAGGAGAATTCTGGCGTCGGCGTTGAGACCGGCGAAAGCGAGACAGACGTGGGTGTCGATGAGGCCGATCTTGGAGGGCGTGATGCGGGTGTCTTGGAGCTTCATGGCGGAACGCTTTTCGCAGCCGAGGACTACCACGTCGGCACCTTTGACACCGACGGCGCAGGTTCCTGCTCGCAGGGAAGGTCGAGGGGTTAGCTGTGAAGGAACGGCAAGGCCGGGGGTAACAGGGACCGTCAGATCAGAGTACTGGGACACACACCTCTCTTTACTGCTTCTCCGGCATATTCGACTTGGAAGACGTGACCGTCGGGACTAGAGTTTGTTAGGAAGAGCTTGAATCCAATTTCACCGCGTCATCTACTAACCTGAAGACTGTTCGAAGATCAATTAGCTACCAGGGCATGGAGGTTAAGCGGCTAACAGGAGGATGCATCAACTTACCAGACAACGCTCGATCATAGGAGGAGGCCATCTTGGATTATCTTTGTAGGACGATATTATAAAAGGAAGTCGGCGTCGTAATTGTCGTAAATTCGGTGGTTAGCGATGGGGATTGATTCGATTGTTGACGTTGATTGAGGTATGGGCTGGGGTATGCAAATAACTTGGGGTTCAGGCTACCAGCTCTGACGAAGCTCCGTGGAAGGCTGAAGCTACCATACCAACGAGCAGTGACTTCGCGTGTCACAAATTATCGGCAAAATTTCGGCAAATAATGAACATCGTGCACCAGCTATGGCAAACTCGGGCCCTCAATCAACTCAAGAGCAAACCAACATTGTTCAGATCAATGTTATAATACTCTTACGCTCCCTAGAACATATCTTAAGATGAAGACAAATCCCCCGTAGCAATCCGCAAGCTTTGAACGGGCTTCGAGGAACGATGTTTCCAGAAACCCGCTTGAGCCCCGTTGAAGCTCCAAGCCATCTCTCGCCGCTGCAGGTTTGGGCTGCTTCACTCAAAGATGAGAGATGCAAACCCAGAAATCAAGTCCCATTAATCATACACACATAGTTGCATTCGGGCTTGGAGAGTGCGATCTCATCTACGAAGTAAAAGACGAAGGCAGCGTGCTATGTTGGATAATGTTGCCGTCAACTTTAGCCGGCGGCGTGGAAGATGATGCTACGGATCCTACCAACTCGAGAGCGGAGAAGCTCTGTTCCACGCGACACTCACTGGCCAGTATTTGTCTGTCGTAGATATTGTTTCTTTCAGATATATCATTCCTGCAATCCTTCCTCGGGAAGTGCCACTCTGGCCTAACGATGGCGTGACGGTCGTGGGAACAGTCATCTCTAATATGGAAGGCGCCCGGGGAGAGACGACATCGACGTGGGCGAAGACGAAAGAGCTCACATGGCTACTGTCAGGGAATAGTGACTCGCCACGCGATATAACGCCGACACCCCCCGCACAACTAGGGCTGGTAGGAGAAACACGAATATCCATTTATACCTCAACGTCATACCTACTTCGCACCTACGTCTTGGATTTCGCAGGGATGGAGCGTGCGGAGTGGTTCTACACGACGCGCGTTACGTTTGTCGAATCTGTCGGCCCAGGTTACCCTACCACTATCATCCGAACGGGCTATACGAACGTGGTGATTCGTTATGTCGGGACCAATAGCTCCTCGACGACAACGTTTGAGACTACGTACACTACTCCATACTGGCGAACAACTACAATGATCCAGCCCACCGGAACCGGGACTAAATCATAGGAGGCATCTAAAAAAGTGATAGTAAATTCTATTTCTCTACAAGCTACACGAATTTTCCTGGTTTGATAGTCATGTTCGGAGACGTTTCCTATCAAATACATATTCGGTGGGTGCTGCGTAGGTAGGCAATGTGGTTGTGACTCCAGCGTCTTCTCCCCCCCTTGTTGCTGGACTTCCTAGACCGCCTGTCTCCTGGACTTCGCGGCTATGATCTATCGATGATTGTTAGTTTACCAGTTGCGATCACTGCGTTCTATTAAGTATAGCCACCGTGTTGTGAACTTGAAAAGGGGGCAAGCCGGTCGATGCTAGCTGAACTGTCTTCTGCCCTCCGTTGTTGAGACGGACAGATGCCTAGTTACAAAAAGGACTCTTATACTAATACTAGAACAAGAAACATAACTAGTCATTTCGGATATTCTATCGCTTTTTCCTTCGCCGAAGCAACGGCGCAGGCATTTCACAGTACCGAAGGCGAGGAAATTAGTGTTGAGACCTCAACCCCGTTTGCCTTGCCATACCCGTTTAAGACACTCTCATGGCTGCCAGTCCAGCTGCAGCCACCCCCATACCCAGCCAGGCAAGCGTCAGTGCCAAGAGCAGAAAAAGCCAAAGAGAAACCAGTACCTCAAGGCCCGTCCACTTCAGTCCATTTCTTCCCCTGAACAAGCTGTGAAAGATACTGGCCCTTCTCCACAAGTTTCTCTCTAAAGCTATCGCACCAAAACAACTCCAACATGCCGTCCCCGGTCGTATCACTCATCTCCCGATAGTATTCCCGGGCAACAGTCCAAGGAGCGACGAGCAGATCAGGTTGCAGAGTCCCCCGCAACGCAAAGTCGAGAGATCGGCAGATCTTGCCCGCTAGCTCGCGACCCTGCTGGTACTTGTACTCGTCGAGGGCGAGGTTGGGCGGCGGTATGCCTTGGCCGTACATATTCTGGTAACTGAGGTGATAAAGCGACACGCGCAGGGACTCTATGCAGCGGTGGAAACGCAGGAGGGCCATCCAGTAGTAAATGAACATGATGGAAGAAATGTCGTCGATGAAGGTGAACCTGCTGAGGAAGGGGATCTGCATTTCCATGTCCTGCTCCTCCCACAGGCTTGGGACGTTGTTGACCATGCTGGCGGTGTTGTACCACTCGTCGAGTTGGTGTTCAATATGCAGACAGTTGGCTAGGAGCTCTTGGACGCGGTGCTGCCGGACCTGGGTCACGGGCTGGGATAGGGCCATTTCGGTTCGTGCGAGGATAGGAGGAATGTGGGAGATGATGTCGAATAACCTGTCTAATCTGGTCTTTTCGTGTTGCTCCCAGGGAATACTCATCCACTCCGGGGACGCTAGGAATGTTTCTTCTCGTTTCATCAGAGCGACGCTAAGCTGCACAGGTTGGCAAAGGCATGTTAGTTTCACGGCGTCTGTACTACACTCAGAACGTGGGATGGGCACTCACAGCGCATGGTCTATATATCCGAGAGAAGAAGTGATGGTTTGGGAAAGACCGGAAAGCTTGGGGACCGCGCTTTCTAATGCTGCTCAACGCATCAAGTCCCGAGGACCACATACTTCCACTTCCAGAAGATGTTGATATCGAATTGTGCTAGGGAAAAAAAAATTCCATCCAAGTCAGCTCGCCTAGCCTCTCCGACTTACACCAGGAACGAAACTTCTTTAGAACATACCTCGTACAGATACATGCATAAACTCCCAGGACCATGAGCCCTCTCCTGCTCCGGAGCAAGATGCACAATACACCGCCCCGTCACATCCAACTCACCATCCGCTCCATAGAACGGAAAGTCTGGCACATCATACGGCGGCACCTCCAAGCTGAAGTCTTCCCTACCGCTGTGGTCCTGCATAATACTCCGTAACCGGGTGTTAACAGCAACAATCCGGAATCCTTGGGGCGCTCCGCCCCTCGACAAGGTGATGACGTGGTTCCAGGATGGCTGTAGAGGATTCTCGGCCACAAACTGCGGGCTCTCTTCCTCTGGGGGAACCGGAGACTGCGATTTGCCTTTCTTACTGGACCCGCCGATCTGGCGGGGGGGATGGGAAGAACAGCGTCCTCCATCTTCGAGGGTAGCCGTGATGAAGACCATCTGGCGTTCGTATCCCTCGCATTCTCGCCCGTTGTCGACGCATTTCTTGCAAAGGGGCCTCGTGTTATCGCACTAGAAGTGGTTCCAAGGAGGATGGTTAGCTTGGTTAGAAGTAGAGTGCCCTTTCTGGCGTTTCTCTCACGGGGTCTAACAAGGTGTTATCACCCTGGCGATGACGGGCCGTCCCATCTTCCCCTTCTTGGCCTTACCTTAACCCTTCTTCGTCTGCAGGTCTCGCACCCCTTGTATTTCCCCGGTACCCCGACCATGCTGATAAGTAGTCGTAGTTGGTATTTCGGTAACACTGTTTTTCTTCATATGCCGTGGAGAAAAGACCGGTGTACGACCACAATTCTCGAACACATCATCCTCTCTTCCTCCTTTTCTTCTAAAAAGGAAAAGAATAGGAAAGATCGGGGCGGGTGGATATATAATTCTGGACGAAAGAAAAAAAAAAAAAAGCAGCAACAGGGCAAGGAGGTAAGGGGGGGCGTGTGAGGAGAAGATGAGGTTATTGTTCGGAGCATGGAAACCCTACCTGGAAAGGCAGACTTGCATGCGAATTTTGCTTGGTCTGCAATCCTGGCAGCAAATGGGAAGAGAGAAAGAAGGTATCAGGGCATGATATGATGGCTTGGGGCTTGGATATCCCGTAGCAGACGGGAAGAGGTGACAGGCCAGGCGTGGGTTCAGGGCTAGAATGGAGGCAGAATCTGGGCCACTCCTCCTCCCCCTCCTCGCCCAATTCCGCTCCCCTCTCGCCTCCCCGGCACAAGGAAAGGGCAAGAAAACGGCCCTGGGCGGAGAATATTGGCGGAGCACAAGCGAAGCAGGCCATGTCAACAAAGTGACATGTCAAAGTAGCTAATCGGATGAGAGGATCTACACCATCTTCTTGCCCGCCCCCCTTCTTGAAGTTCTGTTTATGTCGTAGCACCAGGAACAGGCAGCCCTACGACCAAGAACGCCAACTAAAACAAAATAAAAAAGAGGTCTATTGAACCACTTCCTAGTCAATACAACCATAAGATGGAAACGGGAACGAACGGCCCAGGGCAAGAAACTAGCTAGGTCTAGGGAGATTCAATGGTTTACACTAGTAGCCGTGACACTAACTCTTACTTTTTCCGTGATGGCCCAAAGGAGAAACACGACCGGACCAGGCTAGGGCATGGACAACCTGAACGACCAGTGTCGGAGAAATTTTGGGCTGAAGGGAAAGGAGCGGGAGGAGACAGTGCCCCGTTCGTCCTATAGAAGGGCGGAAGTAGCGCAGGAGAGAGGGGAGACGGCACATCCGGACGCAAGTGACATTCTCGCAGGGCTCACTAAGTCATGCTTCTTGGGTCAGGGGGGAGATTGATAGTGAGCTCCGGATCGGGGCTTGGGGTAGTCAGGGAGCGGTAGGAGAGGGCCTCCCCGCGGGAAGTGAGTGAGGCGTGAGGGGGGGCGTGCAATATGGTGTAAGTGCATGCGTGCTATGAGTGCTACGACCTGTTACTAATGGGAAAGGGTCAGAATGAGCCGGCTTTAACATCGGGCAGCGTAGTGTAGCGGACAGGCAGAGGTTGATGGGCAGAGCATTCTCCAATATTCCAGGGTAAACCCCCACACCCCCAGATCAAGTTCCGGCCATCTGCTTAATTCGAGCCGTTGTGCTCACCGCATCTCGAGCTAGTGACAGTGGAATGAAGGGAGCAGAATAAGGTTGGTCTCGTGTGTACGGTGGAGTCCATGTCATAACTTCTCCTCTCTTTATGGCAGGTTACCCACTGTGTCTGTTGGACGAGAGATGAGCCATCGATTTGAAATTAAGAAACTATCGATACTACTCCCCTTTCTCGGTTAGCTCTAGCGAGGCTCCGAATGTGAAGGCGCAAGCATGAACGTCAAGGCGACAGGTACAACAAGTACACACGGGGCCGGACGGGCTACGACACTTAATGGGGAAGGACTTGCGAAGGATTAATGGGGAAGAGAACAGAGGAGGGAGCAGAAAAGAAATGGAAAAGTAAAAGTGAAAAGAAAGAGAACAGAAAAAAAAGAGGAAAAAAAGGGCACACGCTTGCTTCGTTTTCTGGCACCATAGGGCTGGCATGACGGACTGGGAAACGAATGAAAGGGGGCACAAGGAGTCCGTCCATTCACAGTTTGTGCACGGGAAAACGGCCGGCTGGGGTCGATTCCTACATTCTTACTTGCTGAGCTAGAACGACCCACCATGATCAGTAGAGAGCTTTAATTAAATGAGAAAAATGTGAAGGGCAATATTGCATGTGGTTGGTGGGAGAGGAACAGAAAATTGAAAGTAGCAGATCCAGTCGGTTCTGGTAGACAGCTCTGCGGAGAGACAAGTTGACTGCAACGAGGGCGGCGCGGAGGAACGGTAAATGGCAGCACCGCTTCACTCGTCGATCAATGGTCGAGAAAGAGGAGAGACGGAGATAACTTTTCTAGAAGCCGCCCGCCGTTAGAGAGATCGAGAGATCTACGAAGGAGCACGCAAACCCAAACACGACTGCAATTTACTTCGTCCTGCTTCGTCCGCACCAGGCTGAGCAAAAGGGTGAGATCAAAAGGGTCTTGCTCTGCCCTGGCCTGACCAGGCTCAATCTTGTTGGGTTTATGTGGTGGAGCTGGGCAGGTAGCGCGGTTTCCTAGAATGCTGAACTATTGAAAAGATATTTCCCCAAATGTTGTTTCCAGCTAACGCCCGGCCACCGTAGTGGAGCGGGCTATTGAAAAGAAATAGTCTCTCATCATAGGATTATTGGATATTAGATGAAACCATGATGTTACGATGGCGACGGTGCATCGATTGGTGTCTTAGGCAAGGAACGGGACAACGCCTTCACACAGGCCAGTAATCTTACCTGGATGCGGCCATGGCATGACTTACCTAGGTGAGATGTGAGATGATGGCAGAGAGATGCATCTTCCGTCTCCTGGGCCAGAGTTCCGTCCTTCCGGCCCGAGCTGAGACCAGCTGAGAATCCCTTTTGAGAAAGGGAAGGGGATATAAGGCTGACTAGTACCTTCCTAGGCTTAATAGTCTCCGGATAGTTGCTCGTGCGCTGCATGGCGAGGGTGACATTCAATATTTCCTAGGGTTCGATATCCCTACTTTATACAGCCAACCAAGTCGAAGCCGATGCTAATAAACGTATTACTTCGTCCCTCATTCCTGGCAAAAAAAAAAGACACTATGGACATTTTCAGTCGCGCCACTTACTTCGTCCAAACGTAAACGTCTTTAATCAACAGGGGACCAGACAAGGGTCTGCCTGCTATTAGCGTCCGAGACCGATTGCGGAGCCTGGGATATTAATATCTTGCACCACTGGTTTCTAGTGGAGTTGCTGCAGATCGGCGGGACTTGAGCAAGGTTCGACGTGCGCTACTGTCGGCGACAAGTGACGGTTAAACCAGGCTGTCGGGTACACCGTCTCGACGAGCGAGTGCGAAGTTCGAAGTAGGAGAGAGAGAAAAAGAAAGCAAAAAAGAGTCGGAAAATAAAAGAGTGTGTGTGAGGTGGAAAGAAGGGCAACGGACAGAAGGCCGAGTAAAAAAAAACCTGCTCTCTGCAAGCAATCGAGTCGTAAACGAGGCCAATGGCGATCTTTGCTCTTCTAGTCCAGCACAACCGGTTGGTCGGGCGTCGATGACATTCCCAGTCCTCAGAGGGCGCCGTCATCTCCCATCATCTCCCATCACTCGCAGCTCATTTACATGCACCCCACCCACCTGCCCCTCGGGACCGAGGTGACAAGACCTCCGAGTACCCTCGAAGTACACCTTGTTGTCATGATCTCATGCAACTCCTTTCATGGAGTAGAAATAGGAATACAGCGCGGTGGAGGCTCCAAATGCAACACTGTGAGCCTGCCTCGCCTGCCCAAGCTAGACGAGGGTGATATGACGACAATAGAAGGGGGGAAAACAAGACAAGGAGCAAGAGGCTCGAACGGACGATGACTTGGATATGAAAATAATGAATAGATATTCCAGATGCAGCAAATATGTGGTCCTAAATGCTAATAATAATGAGTATAAACTAGCCTGCCTGGGAGACTGTCGTCTCCACTGTACTCTCAACAGCCCAAGGAACATGCGAATATCTAAGAGATTTTGCCGTATCTCCGTATGTCTCCATCATTTGCCAGATGCCGATTCGGGCATTGTGCGAACTCTCTGGCTGTGGCGAGAGTCTTCCGTGCTGAGCCTTCAGTCTGCCTTGCCACTGCAGGGCGGAAAGGTAGAGGAGGCTGACCATGGATCAAATTTTTTCCCGAGTGGTAACCCAACCCCCTCCACGCCGCACGCGGGGCACTTCTCCTAGATGTACTTGTAGGGGTTCATGATGCCATTCTATATCAAAATTGCCCGTTAGTCTCTTGGGGGGACGGGAAGGCGAAAGCGACATGTCTCGGAGAAACCTGCTGTAAACTTACCGGATCATAAAGATTCTTAATCTGCCTCATCAAGTTTACCATGGTATCACTCCTACTGTAGCCGATGTAATTCTTCTTAGCGATTCCGAGGCCGTGCTCAGCGCTGATGCTACCCTTGCGCTTCTGAACCCATTCGTATACAAACGGCTCAAGGAGTTTTTCCACGCGCTTGTCGTACGTTCTCGTGGAGACGTTGAGGTGCAGGTTCGAGTCTCCCATATGACCATAGCCCACGACGGCGAGGATAGGATGCTCAGCATTCGGTTCGGTCTGTGTGAGGTCCTCGAAGAGGAGACCGGCTTCCTCAGCCCTAGCCTTTGTGTCTTCGACTAGCTTGTACATTTCCTCAAGAGGAATCGAGACGTCATACTTGTACACGCCGCCGACCATGGCGAGGGCCTCTGGGACGCCCTCACGCCACTTCCAAAGCGTTTGAACTTGCGTCTCATCCTGGGCGACAACGCCGTCTTGGACGATCTCCTTGCCCATGACGTCCTCAAGGAAGGCCTCGAGCTTGGCATAGTCGTGCTCGCCATTTGATCCACTAGTCTCCACGAGGACGTAAAATGGATGATCGCCATCGAGAGGGTTGGTGTTTCCCGTAAAATGCTGCACCACTTGCTGGCTTCGACCGTCCATAAGCTCGAAGGCAGATAGAATCTCGGAAAGTTGAGACTTGGCCTCACGGAAGGCACGGCGCGCGTGTTCGAACGACTCGAGTCCGAAGTAGGCAACGTTGACGGCTTTTGGCCTCTGAGGGCACTGGATAGCAACCTTGGTGATGACCCCGATGGTACCTTCGGCACCGATGAAGAGCTGCTTCAGGTCATACCCGGTGTTGTTCTTGCGTAAGGTCGAGAGCTCATCTACGACGGTGCCATCAGGGAGCACGGCCTCGATGCCGAGAACGGTGCCGTGCAGATTTCCATATCGGAGGAGACGAAGGCCACCAGCATTGGTGGCAAGGTTACCACCAACGTGACAGGAGCCCTTGGAGCCGAGGTCGAGAGGGTAGATGTGTCCCCTCTCAGCAAGGTACTGATCAGCAACCTCGAGGATAACACCGGCGTCCATAACGAGCACACCGCTGACTTCATCAAACGAGATAATGTTGTTCATACGACCGAGGCTAAGCACAATCTCGTCGAAGACTGGAACTGAACCCCCGACAAGGCCGGTGTTGCCTCCCTGGGGCACGACGGCAAGCTTCTTGTCGTTGCAGTACTTGAGGATCCGGCTGACTTGATCAGTTGTCTGAGGTCGGAGAACAAGTCGGCTCTGACCACGGTACTTTCGCATCCAGTCCTCGTTGAAGGGCGCGATGTCATCGGCTGCATCCGAGGTGACACCATCGAGGACGGCTGACCCGCTGCCTAGTACACCTTTGAAAAAGGCGACGTCTTCGGGCGTCACTCGCGCGAACCGCTCATCCCTCTTGACATTCGGGTAGGCCTCCGAGGTGAGCTTAATGGCACCCGCGGCACACCGCACGGGGGTCGAGCTCAGGTGCCTTGCGCCTGACTGGGTGAGATTGAGGCAGTGTGAGTTCTCCTGGCGGGCCGAAGCAACGGCTGAAGCAACAACCTTGAGATTGACCGGGCGGGGGATGTGTTGCACTGCCGGTCGTCGCGCCGATTGGACAATCGGCATCAATCTTGAGCGGGAGGCCATGGCTTCACAAGATTGCCGAAGCCAGGAAACAGCAATTGCACAAGAAAGAACTCTCCGAGCTTAATTACCGCAGGGAAGGAAGTAAATTGATGCGAATAATTATATAAAACACATGAGAAAGAACGAATCGGCGAGTGAGAGACCGTTGTCGGCGTGTCGCGGTCAACTCTCAGTCAAAAAATTGCGTGATGATAAATCGGAAGTACGCGCCGATAAATCCTGCCTCCAATTGTCATAAGTTGCCTCCACCTTCCACTTCCTCACCGCGGTTCACGGACTAACAGTCGCTCTTGCCACTAGCAACTTCCCTTGCCACCAAACTCGGAACTGTGAACTCGGAACCCGGAAGGAACGACACATGCATTTTTGATTGGCATTTGTATCTTCAACATCACGAATCTGTTGTCACTCAGCGCGATTGTTCTTCGATCCGACGATGCAGCAACAATGAAGCAATGTCAATTCGTCTCTAGAAACATCACGTAAGCCTGCGCTGTCCTTGAACAGCACAATTGCACGGGCAACACAATTGCACGGGCAAACCAATTGGACATTGCATTCCCTTCAATCAATGCAAAGACAAATACGAAGTAATGGCGACGCTGGTTTTCCAAGCTCATCTCGGCATCCCGACAGATCTGATAATCAGTCCACCTCTTGAGACTTTGAAACTTGCTAACAGTTGTACGAGCTCGTCAACAACCTTCTCGAACACGACTGCTCATAACTGTCCATGCCGCCTCCTTCTCCCGTGTGCATGAAGCGTCGCCTTGGACGGAGGGCTCCACAATCGTGCAATGGATTTCCAGGAAGCTTCAACTCCGCAATGCATTTGAAAAAGAGGCCGGCCTGATGAACTAAAGGGCTACGAAACAATGATTTGCTCTGCTTACAGATTGCCTAAATTCATCTGAAGTTGTTGATGCCGAAATCTCTGATTCAGATACTTTCTTTCGTTCGGGTAGGGGCCCAACAAGACCACACGCGGGAGAGATCCTTCCTTTCCTGTAGAGGCCGACGATGATCCCATCCACCATGGGTTGGATCCGGTAATCGTACCATGGTTGGAATTCCAGGCTTTAGACCACCTCCAAAATAAAGCGTTATTGAGTTGAGATCGAGAGAAAATCTAAGGGGGTGGTGGATTGCGCATCAGCAATTGGAAAAGCAGGCGGCAAGTAACTGCAACGGTTGGGCCTGCAAGATTGCGGTCACGCTCCTCTTCCCTACTTCGTACGCAGAACACAGCACTTCGTGGTTTCGAGTTTCATACAGCCTGCTACCTATGCTTCGAGGTTCTATGCGTTTGTATGCTATTATTATCTTCTTCCCCAGGTAAACGCGGCTTCTCTCCTACGAGCCCTCCAAGCCAGCCAATCCCTGGCTTGATGATGTCTCGCATAAGGTAGGACTCGCCTGTCTCGAACTCTCGGCGAGACCATTGTTATGGATTAGCCCCCCGACTAGGAGTTGGAATCCTGGATTGGGTCTTTTGATAGTTGATGTGACCCCTTTCATTATACCGAGGTGCCATTTGGTGAGGTGTATTGATTTCAGACAGCCCATAAAATAGTAATACAATGTCCACCGCACACCTAATGCAAGTCTCCCTGAACTGGTCTAACCTCGCCCTCTCCCAGGATCGACGGGTTAAAAGAGGTTAAATGGGTCGCATAAAGGGTGAGCCTCCATTGGGGCTTTGCTATAGGTGGGGTGGTCGGGGAATATGTTTCAGGACTTGGGTCGCCTCCACCTTTTTGGAACTGCACCAGTTGCAGACCCTTTCGATGCGTTGACGGCGACAGTAGTAAGGAATGCCTTTGGGTCTGTCGAGGGGCTGAAAAGCGAAATCTGGCAGACTCGTCACTGTCGAGAACTTGAGACGATGGGGATCGCTTGCAAGAGGGGGTGCAGAGGCTGTGGGATTCTGGTATAAACTCTGGATCTGCCTGCATTTCGTTCCATAGTTTTGGTCCCTCTTACCTTGTTTTCCATCCTTCTTGTTGCGTTATTAGAATACTGGAAGGTTAATAAACAAGACGAAAGTCGAGGTCGAGACTCTTCTCACGACATTCTTCATTCCTCGCATCTCTGCTCCCTGCGCGTTGTTATCGATAAAGCGGCACCTAAGCGGTCTGCCGGCCTGACAGGGTAATTGCCGGTCCACTTTCAGGTAGATTGACACCTGTAACCAGTCACGGTCACAGTTGAGGCGAGGCGACCAAAATCGCAACCACTTAGCAACGGCAGATATTAATCCGCTGATGCCCTGTGTCCACTAAAAACCCGCTAAAATGGACGCCTACCCCCACCACTTCCAACACGGCGCAGAAGAGCAGCCAGCGCTGAACACCCCACCAAGCATGACTGGGTCCCAACACATAGGGCCTACAACAGCGCTACAGTCCGCGTCGTTGCAACCGTTCGGCCTCCCTAGCAACGCTACCGAGAATGAGAAATTCCCCGACTTCTGTTTACATCAGGAGCCAGTAGTCGTCGACAACGACAACGACGAGCACCACAACTACTACGACCCCTCAGCCCACTCTGATCCGCGTCTGGTCAATGGCCAGCACCATCACCAATTCATATCCTCCTCAATAATCCACCCTGCCGTTGCAAAAACTATCCAAGATCCCGCTACTGTCCGGGCCTTGCGTACGTCATCCATAATCAGCTCTGCCCCTTCCGAAGCCTCGATATCCACTTCGGAAACCTCCACCAGAGCTGCATCTCCCACGCCAACCTACGACTACACCGCCTCGCCGAATTCGAGTCCCGCGTCCTCACAAAAAGGCTCCCCCGAGCTTCATTCGGCACCGAAATTCGCATCGCCGACTCCTTCGATCCCGCGGAGCAGGAGGACGAAGAAGGAACTCAACGCTGCCAGGGTCCAGCGCTCGGGGAGCTACGGGAGCCAGCAAGCCCCAACCAAGGACAAGGAGACAACGCCATCGAAGAGACGGAGATTCCTTAGCTCGGCTACTGGTCAGGTCGACGCTCTTGCTGCCGTCGAACCTGCCCATGAGCAGGTTCTAACGAGAATGGCCTTCGCGGAACAGCAGAGGTGGATTACGGTCCAACAAAAAACATTTACAAAATGGTGGGTGCCCAACAACAACCCCCTCAATCTACCTAGAGGTGTCTTGGACCCTAGAAATACCTAATAATTCTTCATGCACTCGGCCATGCTAATTACTTTTTTTCCCTTCGTTCCACTTGTAGGGTCAATACCAAATTAGAAGCTAGGGACCTCGAGGTGAAGGATCTTGTCTCAGATCTTAGCAATGGTGTAAGTGGTGACACCGCCCAAAACCTTCCTAGATTCCCTTCCACTTTAATGGGCTGCCTTAACTCACATATTCCTTCCTCCGTTAGGTCTTACTCATACATTTGCTCGAATGCCTGTCAAGCGAAAGCCTTGGACGATATGCGGCGAAACCTAAGCTCCGAGTACAAATGTTTGAGAATGCCAACCTAGCTCTCGACTTCATCAAATCTAGGGGGATTCAGATGACCAACATTGGTGCCGAGGATGTTGTTGACGGGAACCGAAAGATCATCCTTGGTCTCATCTGGATTCTTATTTCGAGGTTTACGATTAGTGATATCAACGAAGAGGGTATGACGGCGAAGGAAGGTCTGCTACTATGGTGCCAGAGGAAGACAGCCTGCTATGACGAGGTCGAGGTCCGCGATTTCAGCGGTAGCTGGAACGATGGTCTTGCTTTCTGTGCCCTTCTCGATATTCACCGCCCCGACCTGATCGACTATGATGCCCTCGACAAGTCGGACCACCGCGGAAACATGCAACTTGCCTTCGACCTCGCCCATAAGGAAATTGGAATCCCCAACCTTCTCGACGTGGAGGACGTCTGTGACGTTGCCAAGCCTGACGAGCGAAGTTTGATGACTTACATCGCCTATTGGTTCCACGCCTTCTCGCAAATGGAGAAGGTTGAGAACGCCGGTAGGCGCGTGGAGAAATTTGTTCTCAATATGCAAGGTGCCTGGGAGATGCAAAGTGCCTACGAAAGGAGGATGCGCGAGCTTCTCAAGGTTATCCGGGAGCAGTTGGTCGAGTGGCAACAGGCGAAGTTCGAGGGTACCTACGCCGACGCGAAGGCGCAGGCTAACCACTTTGCTGCATACAAGAGGGGGAAGAAGAGGGAGTGGGTAGCGGAGAAGAGCGAGCTGGCCACGCTGCTCGGCAACATCAAGACCAAGCTAGGGACTTACAGGCTACGGCCCTATGAGCCACCAGCCGAGCTACGGTTGGAGGTCATGGAGCAAGAGTGGGCGAACTTGTCCAAGACGGAGATGACCAGGGCACAGCTTATCAACGAGACTATTCGAGAGTGAGTGACTGGCCGTCGAGGAAGCCATCGAGCAAACAACTGATAATTTTATTTTTAGTATCAAAAACGCTCTGAGAAAATCTTTCGCCGACAAGGCCAACGACTTTGCCATGGCACTCAACACCATGCAACTAGCAATCTCGGGTCTGGAGGGCGATGTAGAAGATCAACTACATCACGTCCGCAAGCTCAGCGATAACCTTCCACCACTCGATCAGTATCTGGACACGATTGCTGCTGTGGACGAGAAGTGCCAGGAGGCGAACATAGAGGAAAATGACTTTACCACCTACACGTACGACGAACTCTGCTACGAGCTCTCGCTAGTAAAGTCGTCGGTACAGAAGAAGCTCGCCTTCCTCGAAAACCAGATCGTGGCGCGTAACATGACCAACCTAACACCCATCCAACTCGAGGAGTTTGAGAGTGTGTTCCGCCACTTTGACCGCGACGACACCAACTCGCTGCAGGAGCTCGAGTTCAGCGCCGCGCTCGCCTCCCTGGGTCTCGTGTTCTCCGAGGACGAGATGCACGACTACTTCCTCGAGACATCCAAGGGTCGCGACTACGTCACCTTCGAGCAGTTTATCCGCTTCATGGTCGACGTTACCGAGGATCAGAATACGGCCGAGCAGGTCTTCCAATCCTTCCGTGAAGTTGCGGACGGGAAACCCTACGTCACGGAGATGGATCTGCGGCACAGTCTCGTGCCGGACGAGGTCATCGACAAGCTGGCCGAGTTCTTCCCTAGGCATCAGGGGCCCGACCTAGCATCGGACAGAGGCATGCCACAGTTCGACTACGTCTCGTTTATGGAGAAGCTTATCGAGAACGACGCGGATTCATCCTCTAATGGAAGAATAAATGGGTTTCACTAGTGGTGAATGGGGAGGCGACGGTGGAGGCGGAGACGGATTTGGTATATAACTTTTCGCCGTCAATATTTTTTTTTTCCCCTTCTTTTACAGTAGTTCTCGTCACGCAAAAGTAGTGACCATACCCCTGGGCGACTTCATTCTTTCCGCTTTCCTCCTTATTAATGTTTTAGGTTCTTGGGCTTGGGACTTTGAATCATGGCTAAGTTGTTCGTTTCTATTCCTCTTTTTTTGTTTTGAACGAGATATATTGCTTCCCTTTTTCTCTCTTTTTCTCGCGGACTGGGTCGGGAGAAAAGATGCCAAGGGGGGAAACTTGAGGGTTTCTTTTGTTACTTAGGAAATAGATAAATTGCATAGTTAGGTGTTTATATCGAAAGTCTTCACAATAGCCGTCCTCTCTTCCTATCGATCCCGTTTGTAGGTTCGTCCCTACAACTTGTGGTAAACCATTGTTGAGTGTTGAATGTACATATATCCCTTGTCGATGATTGCGTGTCTCAGAAGAAGACGAGCACAGAAACGGTAAGACTCCAAAAATGCGTAAGCTTATTCCATCTATCAAAACCGCAAGTTTATAAGAGCCCTTTCCTTCCCAGATACCCCAATACCAGACCAGAACCCATTATTACCTTGGGGCATGTAAGAACTAAAAGCCCCATTTATTCTATAAAATACAAGACCAATCCGGTCCCAGCCAGAACAAAAGAACGCCTCACTTGGACTCAAACGCATCCATATCCTTCAACGCATTCGCCAACCTCCGATAATCCCTCAGCAACTCAAGCACCTCGCCTAGCTTCAGGTCTCCCGGACTCTGCAGTTCCATGAACCGCTTGTTGGGCGGGGGGATCTTGGGTGTTTCCTTGGGCGGCAAGGCGGTTGCAAGATCTGGAAAGGCCTGAGAGCAAGAAGAAAATGTTAAAAAAAGAAAAAAAGTCGTTATAACACACACGAATCTTGCACATATCTGGAGCTAAGCCGTGAGAAAAGGGGACATCACGACGGGAAAACTAACCGTAGCAAGATCGCCTCCGTCCGTTGCTGGGCCTTTGTGGCTCGACACATCCTTGGGCGGCGGAGTAGGCGCCGTCCTACCGAACCCCCTAATCATGCCGATACTGGAAAGCCTCGCCATCGGGTTGAACGAACTGCTCAGATTCCGCATGGACTCAACCACCAACGCAGGGTTGACCGACGGACCGGGTGAAGGCTGGGGCGCGGGAGTAGCCTTCTCCTTGTCCTTGGCCTCCTCCTCAGCCTCGGGGATGCCTTCTACCTGCGCGGCCACGGCCACTACCGACACCGCCTTCCTCGTCGTCGAGCTGCCCGTGCTACGAAGGCTCCGCAGGCTATCGGCGCTGTGGTCCCGGCTGCTAAGCTTCTTCCCGCCGATAAGGTTCAGGACCTTGTCGTCCCTGTGAGGCGACGCCGTCCGGCCTTCCTCGGGACCGTGCACGGAACTGGCGCCGCTGACGGACGCGTCGTCTTCTGGCGGCGGGGTGCTGACGAGCTTGCGTGCATCGTCAAGCGTCTTGGGCATGACCAGGTCTTTTGCGGACTCGAGCGTCGTCTCCTGGCGCTCACGCAACTTGCCCATGAGGAAATTATAGCTGTCGCCGAGGGAGTTGGAGATGGTTTTGAGACCCTGGTCGGCGGTCGTGAAAATCGAGTCGCTGGCGGCGTTGATGGCCTGGGCTGGTGTGTTGACGAGGTCGCTCAGCCTCCTATTCTTCTGAACGGCTGCCCGTAGCCCGCCGCTAGGAGAAGGCGGAGGCTTCGCGCCGGTGGCAGTGGCAAGCGTAGGCTCCGGCGGGCTCCGAGTCGCCGACGATAGGCCGGGAGCGTACGCCGGTGGGAAGGTTTCCACCTTGGGTGTGTTGGGCTGGCTCACGAGCTTCGGCTGTCCGGAGGGTAACTCGTCGGCACGAAGAGTCGACAGGTCAACCGTTTCCAGGAAGCTAATAGCGGCCTCGAGGGTGGTTAGGCAGTACGCAGCCTCGCCGTTTAGTTTCTGCTCCCATCTGAAATTTTGGATAAAATGAGCGTCGCTGATAACGCTGAGCTTCTGGGGCGGGAGAGTGATGAGCGTGTAAATGATCATGGGCATGATGTCGTCGGCCGAGGCAGAGGGTCGGTACTTGGACAGGACGTCGACAATGCTCTTATGGACTGCTTTTAGATGGTTCAGTTTCCCTAGCGGATATCTAGCATCATTCATGAGGACCAGCCCGTGGCGCGCGGGCTCGAGCGCGGCCTTGATCTCTTCGGTCTTCGAATCTTCGCTATCCTCATCGTCTTTGGACGAATCACCCAAGTCTATTCCCAGATCAGTCAGGTTGATGCCGACGAGAGCTAGCGCGGCAGTCTTGGACCGTAGTTTATCATCCTGAGCCTCGTCCTGGGTGCTTCGGTGGCGGTATATCCGGGAATAGATTCCTTCGCAGAGCCTCCGCTCCACGGCTTCTTCCAGCCTGCCACGTTTGAGTTCGAGGGCCCTCCGGGCTCTTTTCCGCTCGGCGAGCTCCTCGGGCGTGAGCATCTGCTGCTCGAAATCCTTGGCCTTATCTTTGCTGCCGATTGATGCTGCTTTTGCACGCAGCCTCTTGGCGGTGGACTGTCGGGAAGGGGCGGGCGAGGCGTCTCTCGATTGCTTCATGGCGAGGGTGGATATGTGCGTATTGATGTGTGTCGAAGCTACGGCGTAGAAGTCTTGGAAGAGTCGAGATAGATTACCGATGCTCGGTGGTGTCGGATGGACCTTGGCCGATAGCGACTCGATGAAGCTGTACAGATTGAGAGCGAGAGGGTTAGTAAAGCTTCTGCAAGGTACGACTCTCGCCAGACTCGTCGGGGAACAATCCATACCTGTCCGTAAGGCTAACTAGCTCAATGGGCAGCTCGCCCATATCGATAGACATCCTCACACCATCGCCGGTTTCATCGTTGTCGTCCGTTGCCTCGAAGGCATCGGGGGAAGCGAGAGCTCCGCTGGAGGGCCTGGATGTTGAGGTAGATCGTATTTGCCGTTCAGGCGCGGCGCCGTTCTGAAAGGTATGGGCCCTTCGAGGCGGTGTTACAGACGACGCATCGTTCCCTGACGCGTCCTTGGTCGAGGCAGCGGAGCGTAAGGGACTTGGGTGTTTCGGAGGGGTTGCAGTCGATGGCATTATTACCAAGCAGATTAATGGTTGGAGAATAGCTGATACAGTACTTTTGCAATCTGATTAAAGCAATTGGATTGTGGTGAATGTGCGAATATTTAAAGAATGTAAGAATGTAAAGAGCGATCCCTGGGGAGAGAACAGATTAAGAGGTAGAATGGGAGTAGGAACAGAGAAGGTTTACGTTGGTCCCATTTTGAAACCAGCTGCAACGGGCAGCCTGCAGCACTAGCAAGGAGAGTAAGGAGTGGTCACGGATCAATTGCATCACTGCCCGAGCTGGGATGGGAGACGGACAATCGGACCGCCCTACAGACCCGCCGCTGTAGTTGAGCCTAACTTGCGCGTAAACTCCACGCCGTTTCAGGACTTGTAAATCTAGGGATGGAGTTAGAAGCCTGAGGCGTTAAGCCTGTTATTCGGCGAGGCAATAGACAGTCGGTAAATGTCAGTACCTTCCAGCTCACTGATATCCCCGGTCTTCCAAGGGAAGTCCGGAATCTTGTGCTGTCGTGTGTTCATGTGGATGCCCTTTCGTCCATTCCTCGAACAAGCGAGGGGCGAAGGTCGCCGTTTACATCGTCGTATCTTCAGGGTTAAATTAATGCCGAGCCATGCTCAACGTCTCAAGTCTCTGTGTGATCTCTTCATAATCTCACAACATCGGCGTATAAATTCGTGATATCTTGGCTCATATCCGCTCGAAGGGTCTGTACTTCGTATGCCATTATGAAGCCTTCCTAGTTGCTTTGGAGCTTGGTCTGAATGTAATTGAGATCAGACGCAGCGTTTGCTTCGTAGCGTGCATTTTCAGATGAACGGAATGCAGAGGATCATACACAGGTACACTGCAGTATACTTCGTAAGAACACTGGGACGCGTAGGGTAGGACGTTTCGAATTATGTATGCGCACAAGTACCTGTGTACTTTTCGGGAATTTCGTGTCAGGACCGTTTCTGCGCCTCCGTTGACCCAGGGAGGATGACGTCAGCTGTTCTGCCGAACTTCGCCCGAGACCCTGACCATTTTAGGCAGAATTTCCGTTTCAAGGCCGTTTTTCTTTCCTCAAACAACAACGTTACTATTAAATAATTGGGGAAGGAGCCATGATGGTATTGACTGCTTCATAATTGGGAAGGAATTGGCCCGCCATCCATCGCCTTCCATTTTATGTTGGAATGGGTGGGGTCAGTTCCGTGAAAAATATCCCAGATATTTCTTCCTTGCCGAAATAGTTTCTACGTCACAAACCCTTAACGAAACCGATTCCCATTCCCAAAACGTTTCCCTTTCTATGGTGCGACTTCGGAAGACCCTCTGGCGTCTAAAAAAGGCTTGTTTTACAGTGGTTACAACATCCATGGTAACAAAATCAATCAGCATTTGAACTCCGTTATCACCAATATCTCTCGGTGGCCATCGGTCAACCCTGACCATCTTGATCCAGTCCCTCTCTCTGTTCGAACGGATTTAATTCCATGAATCTTCTCCAAGTCGAGCGGCAGTCGAACTGCGACATGACGGCCCCAGCCCCTGAACGACATATTGCCTTGCCCTTCAACCTAAGGGACAACCCGGAGGCCTTCGACGTAAACGAGAATCTTGAAATGTTGTGGGCCATATACCCATGTTACAGCCTATCCCTGTGGGGCTGCCAGTCCCCGGGAGGCAACATAGGCTGTCTAACGACCTCGATTATCGGAATGTCGATGACTGGGAGCCGCTTTTTCAGCTGGTAAAGGATTATTTCCAGTCGATCGAGGTTTTGATTAACGAGGTTCTCTACTGTAACGTTTACGTCATAGTAGTCCTTGGCCAGCGTGGAATCGACATTACCAAGCTACCTTCGTGGGTCGCTCGAGTAAGTTGCCGTTATTACTATAGCGACGAGTGGAGTGATAAGCCGTTGGATCTCCAAGCTCGACGATCTTCCAGCCCAGCCGCCGGGAGTCCAGATGACAGTGAGTGCGAGGTACTTCAACCCGGTGCTAGAGTAGCATCAGGGCATTTCCCTGGAGAGTCCGCGCGGTTTCTATCAACAACGGCGGGAGTCCTAATAAAGGATGAAAATGGTACCGAGTTCACGACTGTAGCCTCACACGGGTTCCCTGGGCAATGCGGCGTATCAGTCTTTCACCCGCAAGCAGAGAACGGCCGAGCTGATTGAGAGGGGTTTCTTTCTCGTGGATACGACGGATACATGAAGAGTGAAGATTTGGGGGGACACAAGAGGAGGCTGATGATCCTAGGAGCACGTCTTTTATCCTTTTAAGGGGACTCAGTGAGGCGGATCAATGCAGCTCTGCCTGCACATCACACGCAAGAGCTGAACAGGTGTAGCCAAGGGCCCGAAACAGCTCCTACCGCCATTCCGGGTTTGCGTGGTACCGCTCATATGAGAGAGCGGCGGACAGATACCGTGGTTGTTGGCACTCTCTTTTGCCCTTGTTAGTAGGCCTATGCCTGTGGATGGACCCGCATGTGCCGGGTTTGCCTGTGGCATTTGATGACTTCGTTCTTCGGTTGGCGTTTTACAATACTCGCCGGCAGGAAGAAAGACGGTGGATGTGTATACCAGTTTTATGTCGTGGTGTTGGCTGTGTTGATCTTGGGTTCTGTTAAGAGTTTCTGTCGTGTCGGCTGGATGTAAAAAGGCGAAGGAACGTTGATAGAAGCCGCTGCAGGGCTCCTACAAGACTGGAATGGAACACACTTTGAAAGGACTGAAGATGATCTTGCAACGGCCTTACAAGACGCTAGGAAAGAAGTCGAATCCCAGATCTTAATATAAGATGGGAACTGACAATGAAGTGAACTTTGGCGACTGACCGAACGATGACTGAAAAGAACGTGGAAGCGGGAACCTCGAAACTATGATAAAATGACAGAACTAATTGAATTGTAAAAGCTTGCTGTGCTTGTAAGTCGAAGAAGGAGGAGGAGAATCCTCCCGTCTCGGCGACCTGCAACAACCTATCCCCGTTCTACATTACTCTTATACCCAAACTGGCTCCCATGCCCACGGCTCGACTTCCACTCAGGAGCTATTGACATTCGCTTAGTTCCACATAACACGAGCTTCGACCAGAATCATAACTTTAGTGCCGTGTTATTGACCAACTGAGCAGGCATCCCCTAAACGACAAGAGAATTGCTCGAATCTGATCAGGCTTGTTCAACATCAGAATAAGTCATTGCCACCAATCGGAGTCCTCCTCCTCCTCATCGTCACGGACCTCGATTGGACTATTGAGAGCCGGATGAACTGGGGCAGGTTTGGCCAATTGCGAGGCTTCAACCATACCAGCAACTTGCAACAAGACGCTCGCAAGAGTTCGTAAGTGGACTGGCGGAATTGAGGCGAGTGACTTGTTAAGACTCCTTTGCAGGGAAGGCGGGATTACCCGATCAATCTTGGGAGAGTCAGTTGAGTCTTGTATCCGTTCTCGTTTATTCGAAGTTGTCTCAATTGCCGCTATTAAACTGTTAGATTCCGATATTATACGAATTAGAAGGGAAACGCACAACCTCGCTTGCGCTTCTTCTGTTCGGGTTGGAGTGAACAGGGCGCATTCTGATAGGTACAACAAGCGCAGGAGTGACTGAAGTCGGACCAGACGATGCAGGTGGGAAATTTGCCTTGTCCCTTTGAGCACTTGTCACACGGGTTTGCGGCAACTTGACCGAAGATGTAAACTGCAACTCCGTCAGCGTAACTTGCACGACTGCGACCACTGCGGCCGATGAGCGACTCTGTGTGAGTCTCAACATTTATGCCCGAGTATTTTAGCTTTTCTCGAACATAGAGAAGCCGCTCAAGGGACAATATCAATCAGTTAGCACATAATAGTAAAGCCGAACGGGGTAGACATTGTTAAAAAGGAGTTGAGAGTTGGCAGCGTTGGACAGGGGGGTTGCGTTGAGTTGTGTGGAGTTGCATAGAATTGGACAAAGTTGAACAGAACTGGACGGTGTTGAATAGAGTTTAGACCGACCTTCTTTTGAAGAGCCAAGGACAGCGTCTTGCCGCCCCATGATGCTTCCAGTTGAGCTAAAGCCCAGGCTGTAAACTCAACGGTTCCATTAACTGGCTCGTCTGTATCTCTTCGCCTGATTGGCAGTGGATCGCCGTTAAACGTAAACGGGGATACATTCTTCGCCTTCGGCGCTTGAGATCGGTTTGCCGCCATTTGGACTATTATCGCGGGCAGGAATTCCAGGAGGTACGTTTTATCAAGGTTCATATATAGAGAGAATATATATGATCCTTTCATTAAGACTTGGACCTTTTAGTATGCCGGTATAAATAAAATAGACTCGATTGGAACTAGAAGAGAATGAGTTTAATATTCATAAGATCGGCAACCTGTAAGGTTGGGGGAATTTTTGAGAGGATCAGGAAAAAAATGAAAAAAAGACCTCTAGCGGGCCGGTGGGAGAATATAAAGGGGCAAAGCGAATTGAACAAAATATTTCAAAAGTCTTAAATTCTCTTTGTACTCCTGTAGCCAAGGTCCTTGCGAGCAGGGTTTAGCCTGGTACCTTCTCATCCTCGTTAAAACGAGGCCGAAAGCGCTTCTTGGTTAACCAACAGACGCTCAGGTAGACTTTTAGAGCTAGCCGGAACTAGTCAAATAATTTCTCGCACGGCTTTTTTTATGAGGCTGGTTCCCGTTTCTCGTTGTCACCCTCGGAAGCCTGCAGCAGCTATGTTAGCGATGGCATGCTGCGTTGAGTAGTCTTCTCCTGACACCGCGTGGGAAGTCTTATGGTTGCAAATAGGAGATCTTTTAAAGTCTTTGGGTCAAGTTCGAAACGGTACCAAGAATCAGAGGCTGTTTAACCAGCTCCGACTTGTGGGGGCTCGCATGCACCTGCACCTGCGCAGAATAGCCTCCTCCACGACTGTTAAAACAGGGGTGTGAGTGACGAGAAGGAGTCTTCACCAGGTGTAGGCAAGAACTGCTCATCAAATATTAAACTCTACTCCCTGGTTTACATCAAA